CTTGTGGTAATACTAATTGAATGAGAGGTCTAATACAGGATGGAAGATTGATAGCTGAGAGTCGTTCAGTGCTTCACAAGGACAAATTAAACTAGTTACACAAACGAGCATTCGATATCATCTGAGATATAAATGTCCCTTTATTTTTCGAGGAGTTTCACTCATTATTAACATAGATCGTCTTCCTACAATGATATCCGTTTCTCCGATTGTGCCGTCTGATGGCTGCTTGAATCTGACTGTGACTTTAGATCCAACCCATAAGCAAGGTCAATATCTTATTTGCAGCATCACCGTGCCGAAAGATTGCTAAATACTCTTGCCTCTCCTATCTTCTCAACCTGGAAACACCTCATTAGTGCATCTCAGGCGGTAATATTAGAATATCCCGAACTCCTCTTTTACTCACGTGCTATTAAGGGAAAAGATATGAACAGCAATTTGAGCTCAGAAAGCCCATCAGAGGCTTCGCCCCTTCTTGAAGATCGTAATCATTACGATACACCGAGGAATATCGAAAACCAACAAGTATCCGACGATGATACTCCCAAAGCACTATACAGTGACAAGAACTTGCATCTCCTCATCGCAGCTGTCGGAATTGGTGTATGGAGTATCCCCAAGACCCTTACACACGTAACGGACTTATGCTCACAAAACCTACAAGGTCTACCTCGCTGCTGCCGATCAACTTCTAACAGTTGCAACTTATGCCAAAATTGGTAACGAACTAAATGCTTTGAACAATACCAGTTGGATCGCTACTGCGTGAGTCACAGAGTACGGCAGATGTATAGGCCCCGACTAATACTCGATCAGATACTTCCTAACCCTGACGAGTTCCCAACCTCTCTACGGTAAGCTGAGCGACATATTTGGCCGTAAACCATGCCTACTCTTTGCCTATATCGTCTTTTCTCTGGGATGTCTGGGCTGTGGTCTTGCCCAGGACATGGCTCAACTCTGTGCTGCGCGAGCCGTGGCAGGTATCGGAGGAGGAGGTATGAACTCTGTGGTCGCCATCCTTCTGAGTGATCTCGTACCGCTAAAGGATCGTGGTGTGTGGCAAGGCAAGATCAGTATTCTCTTCTTCGCTGGGACTGCTACTGGAGCTCCCCTTGGAGGAATTTTAGCTGATTCAGTCGGCTGGCGATGGTGAGTATTGCGTATCATTTGAGCTAGACACATCTAATCGCTTTCTTTAGGTCGTTTCTTGGTCAAGTCCCGTTGTGCTTCCTTGCTTTCATAGCCGTCTACCTCGTCCTCGATCTTCCACCTGTTGAACACGACCACTGGTTTGCCAAGGTTCGCAAGATTGACTTTCTCGGCGCTTTCGCTCTCGTGGCAGCTGTAGTTGCTCTCCTCCTTGGTCTAGATTCTGGCTCTAACCTTGGATGGTCACATATTATAACCGTCGTCGCTCTATCTTCAACACCAATTCTGTTTGCCTTGTTTCTTTTGATCGAAATCAATGTGGCTTCTCATCCATTTGCGCCCGGTCACATAATTTTCGATCGCGGCTTATTCGCCTGCTATGGGGTGGGTTACTTCTCAGGGGCAGGACAGACATCAACTTTTTTCTTTCTACCTCTCATCTTCCAAGCTGTTCAGGGTCTAGGTGCTACTCAGAGCGGTTCTTTGCTTGTCCCAGGCATGATTGCAGGTGTCGCAGGTTCGATTCTGGGTGGATGGATCATTAAAAGAACAGAAAGGTTCTACGCCATAACGTTGTCGGCTTACGCCCTCGTTCTTGTTTCAATTATCCCCCTGGGATTATTCGCCTGGCTCCGTTCAACCGTTGGAGAGACCATTGGCCTTACTATTATGTCATTCGGAGCTGGTTGTGGTATGGGAAAAAAGCAATTCTTACTAATCTCTGAGATCCTACTTGCTAATAGCCTTTAGCTTTCGTCACAACGCTTATTGGCCTCCTCGCAAATGCTGCAGCCGAAGACACTGCTGTCGTTGTAGCATGCTCGTATCTCTTCCGATCCCTTGGGGCTAGCATAGGCATCAGCACTGGATCTGCTGTACTTCAGCAAGTTCTTCGAATACAGCTGGCAGCTCGGCTCCCCGATGGGGAAGAAGCACGTAATATCGAGGAGAAAGTCCGCCAGAGTCTTGATTATATCAAAGAACTGCCGCCTCATTTGGCTAATCAGGTTCGGTCAAGTTACCAAATCGCGGGGATTGCATCACTTGCCTTGAGTTCCATTTACCTTGTGGCGTCGTTTTTGTTGGCGTTCTGGATTAAGGAGAAACCTCTGAGGAGATAGACGACACTAGATCGGTATCGAGCATACATGAGCTTGCTTCGGGAGTTGAGTTCAAACGTGAGTCACTTTTATAGTGTTAGAAAGAAGGATGGAATAAGAGAGCCTGGATTATTTTAACACCCTGTTATAATAGAGAGATCATATGCGGTTGCTCTCTAGTCAATTTCAGATACAAAATGGCACGCACATGGAAATATCAGATGCTGCGGAGTGGCAGATGGACAGGAACTCATGCTTACTGGCAGTTACTATGAGATTGGAGTTACCAACTTAGGTATTTTTCTATCTTCTCGTTTTCTGTAAATATTGTCATTTTCTTCCCTCTTCCTTTTTCGTCTTGTTTCCTTACTTTAATATCCCCTACTTGTACTAGCCCAATATGCTTGTCGCCGCAAAATGAAACTTGCTGTTCAAGTAAGTGACTAAATCACCATTAAAGCTTTATCATTAATACTTGCTTCTATTATCCCTGAGGGCTTTTACAATGACATCTCACCATTCACTGGTGGTTATAAGGGAGACTTGAAGTTAACTGCTTTAGCGTAACTGTAACAACGATCGATAGTCCATCACTCATATCTCCGCCCAGTATATGTTGGGTCGAATGTGCCAAGCTCTGATAGGCTTCGGCAATAGTCATATGCCCTCGGGTAGCTCGAGATACACCATGGAAATATCCCCTCTTCAATTCATCTTGCGCTAACTTATCAATCCCGCCTAATGCAAGGTACACCCGTGGACCCCGCACTCATCGGCCGATCATTCTCCACCTCGGGCACTTGCTGTACCATCTCAGCGAGATCTAACCAAATACGAGAGACAAAGAATGGGAATCACAGGCTTAGTTTTTCTTATCCTTTAACTAACGAGACTATGAGAGGCTAGAACTGTCCTCTTGTATATTGTCTATTAGGATTATAATTGCTGAAATGACGTTTTTACAAGAAATGCTGGAAGGCATATCATGCCTAGAGGCATCCCTGCCCGTTCTTTACGTTATAACGCTCCACTGTCAAAAGTATCTTCTCGTTATACCTCTGCTTGTGCACATCCTCCCTCAAGTGGTTCATCCTTAGTTTAATGAAGCTCGCCTAAGTGCGTATATTCAAAAGAGACAATGGTCTAAGCCCTGCGAACATGACTATCCTCATGCGTTTGATCTGTGAGGAATCGCACATTGTGGAAAGGAGAGATGGATAAGGTTTTGAGAGTCGTGGTGAAATACTGATCTGTGTATCGGCTTGATGTATCGTTGTTTGTGTTGTCAAATGGAACTTGTAATCCTTCTTGGCCGTGAAATTTGAAAGGTTCTTTGCGCTGAAGGCTCAACGAAATGTGCTTCGATAGTCAACGAGAGATATTAGATGATGCCGGTTGAGCTCCCAGACAGTATCAGATGACTTTCAGCAATCATTACAGACAAAGAAGACATGGTGTCGAGGAAGTTAGTGCGCCGTCAGAGGCCCTCTATCAGAAACCGTGAAAAACCGTACAGGATAAGAAGTCTTTAGTAGGTCTTGAGTATAGCCTATGCGATGACAAAACAGTTCAGAAGCTTCATAGAGTTTTTAGTATAAGAGAGTCCAAAGAAACTTACAAGGGGCCTATAAGGTGCATAGAGACAGTCCATGAAGAATCATTGACATCTGGCTCGACGAGAGCTTGCTATCTTCGAGCGGTAACCGAGAAACTAAGACACTTTTAATCTAAGGCAGTGGAAAGCCATAAGAGCCAAGTTCTTATCTACCATGAACTGGACACTCATACAAGGGTGAGCCGAGAATACAAAGATCTGGTTGTATGTTTCACCGGGACATTCCAGAAAGTGACCCTTAAAAGCCCCTTGTGTACCTAACATAAGAACTACAAGTTAGACACATCAATTTGAGATTGATGAAGAAAGACAGGGCGTCAAATATGCACGTTCTCCCATCCGCAATGATAACTTAATTGGAATGACTGAAATCCTGAAACAAGCCAAATGATAAAGAGAATCACAATGATGTTGCTTAAGTACCGGTCTTGCACAAATCAAGGCCTATTTTCGAGTCGCCGCATGATGGCATACACGAGACTAAGCAAATGAGAGTTCTCGAATGTGGTATCTTACTTCAACTCCCTTGATGTTGTCATGCTTGAGACCAAGACTGAGCTGATATAGGAGCTTTCTGAACGATAATTCTGGAAGTAAAGGATATCAAATTTATGAGAATCACCTTTTCCTGCAGCTCGAGATGTGATTAGTTGTATATATAGTGCCTGGCTATCATCTCGTTCTAAACTAGAGGCACGCTTCATGAAACTGCCCAGCTTTGCTGCTTCGAAGGGACGATCAGACACGGATTTTAGAGCCTAGGTCATATACAAGCCAGCGGACACTCATCACGGCATAGATCTTGTTTCCAAGTGTTGTTGACTTCCATCTGGATAAGAAGCCAGCAAGTTTTATCTATAAAAAGCTTGTCTACATTTGACCACACATTCTCAAATGGCTAATTGTTTACACGAATGGATTGATTGAATCTATCATGATATATCCTAGAAATAAATGCCCTATTAAGAAAAAGGATTTTGTCTTCTTTTTTCTGTCTTTTTTTCCCCCCTCTTACTTTTAACCTTATAAGAGATTATCTAGCTTTTTAGCTTTAGATTAATAACTTAAACATTAAGACCTCTATAGCTAGCTGTTATATTAATGGTCATAAATCAGATAAGGTTTATCTGCCTCAATGATGCAATTGCTGCCTTAATTAAGTAGTATAAATACCATTTACCTCTTCAGCAGCTGGGTCAACCTTCTTCCTTCAACCTACCCAAAAGACACGCTTTATCCATCCATCGCACTTAAGAAAAAGGATAACCAAGAGCTTCGGTCTCAATTATTGAGAAGACTATTCATTCAGAGTCAAATTGTGAAACAAATATTTGCATCTATCATTGTCGAATATCACGAAACACTCAGCCTTCAATGCTGCTCAAACCCCCCTGAAACGCCAATTCTCCTGTGGGTATATACAGTCGTAGAGATGGGAACCAAATAGTCTTCTTCTCGTGTAAGTCTCATGAGACTCTCTTTATCAATGAATCACTCTCATTCCCTCCCCTTGTCACTGTTCGCGCTGCCACCTGGGTTCCGACAGGTCGGCTTCTTGTGGAACAACTTGGCCATCAATGCTCTCGCGAGGAGTGTTGCCCAAAAGAGCCTCACGATCCTTCTTTTCCTTTTCTGTCTTGGATTCCTTGCCCGCTGTCGTATCATCGTCCTCTTCTGGTACAGCTACGAGCCCTCGGTCGCTCGTCCAGCTCGCTGCTCGACCGCTACTGGCGCCCCTTGGGCGAGTTGGTGTAAGTGTTGCTCCAGAGTCTTGAGCCTCGCCTTGAGCTCCAGCGTAACTGAAGTCTCCACTGCCAATGCGTTCTTTCGTGACGGAGCCGCGACGTGCTACATAATCGTCGAATTGAGTGTCGCGCTTGTGTGAATAGACGCTTGGTGTTCGCTGGACGGTGCCCATCTCAACAGATTCACGCTTGGAGATAATGCTAGCTCGTGAAGATGTTGAAGAAAAGCGCTTGTCGGTAGACTGTCGAGCATATGAAGTATCACGCTCAAGGTCGTCGTTGAAGCCATAAGGTTTGACGTTGATAGGGTGTGTATAATCGTCGTAAGCAGAAAGGCGACGGTATCTTCGCACGGAGTAGAAAACCAGGACGAGTGAGGTGATGCTAAAGTAGCGCCAGTCAGTACAACTTGTGTTTAAGTTGGGTATGAGGAACTTACATAAAAGCACAGTCTAACCCAAGAGCGACAAGGGAGTAGTGCTTGTCGTGTTTCTCAGTGTAGACAACTATATCAAGCACGAGAGTGGCGATTGCGCAGGTCAACTTTATGACGTGTGTAAAGAGCATGGTCCACGGAGTCAAGGCCTCTGCGAAGTATTTGGCAATTTCAACGAAACTGCATAGAGATGCGACGAACCATAGAGCTACGTTTGTAGCCTCCCACCTATTCACGGTCAGTAAAACTGCTGTATCGGATCAGACGTTGGTTTTTCTTTGAACTTACACAATCTCGATTGTAGGATCGTCGTTCTTCTTGTCATTGTCCTTATTCACCTTCATGCTGTCGCCCAATCTGTAGGCGAAAAGTCCCATCATAGACATAGACAAGCCTAGCTGAAGAACCCAGGTCGGGATCATAACCATCGGGCGCCATTTCGCCCGATCGAATTGTGCCTGAGCACGATGGTTTCCATTGATGAGCATCGTCAGGGTGTCTTATTCTTCGTGTTCTTGCGCTGCAGTGATGTCTGTTGGAACCAAAGCTCAGCAGTTGGCTCGACAGAGTAATTATCCGACCCTTCCAGAGTATTCCTGCTCAATAGTGATTGGTAATGGTTGATCGTTTCTCATACAGAAGTTCTGTTGTCATCAACGTGTAATCGTGAGAATGCTCTTCTGGTCGCCGTCGGCCAGCGTGCGTTGTGTTCTTAGAGCATCTAGGTTGCTTAGCCGTTAAAGGATCATTCAGGCGTCAGTAAACATCCATCTTCCGAAGGGGTCAGCCTCTTATTTATTAAGTGAACAACCTCTTCGGCGGGCAATGCCGCCTACAGCTGTCTAGTCTCCCATGTCCCCGCAACTCAACTCAGCCCTCTTCGATATTCATGGCGCCAGGTCAGGGATAATGAGCCACCGCCTCCACTATTGTGCAGTTTACACTGGGGTTGCTCAACTGGAATTGGGCTTAGTGCTGATGGAGGGCTGCGGCTGAGAGTGCTGTTGTAGAGCTTTGCTGACAGAGTGAGAACGGTGACAGCTCAGAGGTCGAGGGACTTTGCGACCCCCAAATCAGGGCACGTAATTTGTTGGATTAGCAGGGTGAATAAAGAGGGCTCAGTGGTTTCGGACTCTTTGCGAGTTGATTATCGGGGGTTTGTTCACAAAGCCGCAGTCGACAATTTAGTTTGGGCGGAAATGGACAGTCTCAGACTCAACTCAGCTGGGCTTATCAGCCTCAAGCCATCAAAACGGGCGAACAGCTGTTGCTCATAAACTGCCTGGCTACTAACTGGCCTAGTCAAAACTCAACGGCCCCTAGGGCATTATTTTGATGAAAGGATCTGTTCCATATTGGCGCCATGGTTAAGCGCGAGGCTGCGCAGCACCCCTAGGGCTTGAGAAAGAGGCATTTTTGTCACTCATCTCATCTCATCAGGTCCAGGTTCTCCAAAACGGCAAGGCTGACTTTGGGTTTCATCGGCGGGAAAAGCCAAGCTAATTGGGATGAACAACTCCACTCGTTCAGCCCTGTAAATAGAAACGTGAGAAGAGTTTGGCAAAAGACGGTCTAACGACTAACAACTAATGACCACGATCGATCTTGCTAAAACGTCAGAAGGAATCAACTGTTGAAGCCCACTTAGAGCAATGCCTCATCTGCACAATGGCATTCAGGCGTCAGGGTTTGAGAAGCAGAGCAGAGAGTGGCGGTAGCTCTAAGGTGCGACGAGTGGGGGCCGAAAGGAAGACAAGAGGTTGGTCTGCTGTGCTGTATATGGATTGTTATTTGTCGGTCAACAAAGAACGGAACGGAGTTGAACTATCTCCGCTGCTTAGACTAGTCCGTTGCCCGCAGGTGTGAGATCATGGGTTGCCGAGAATAGAATCCTTTCTCAGTTGATGTCGTCAAAATCTAGGAATATCACCTTGGCTACCCACGTTTTGAAACTGCGCCTCGATCCTCTACCAACAATATGGTTTCTTCTGGTAATTGGGGAATGATGAAAAACAGGACCAGACACAGTTTCGGCTTTTTGGCCACCAAGTCACTGACCAACTAAACGCCCATCCAACCTATGACATCTTACAGTAGTGACATAGTGGCTGCGCCAAGTTTTCAAGGGTCCGCAAGGTTAATCGCGGTGGTCGATGACACCTAGAATGCGAGTCACGGCATAGGTTCAGCTTGATAGAGGTTGACTCTGAACAGATTAGTGACCGAAGCTCATTATCTGTTTCCAGGCATCGGCATCGTCTTCCCAGCTGGTGAAACACAAGAGCCCTACGCTTCACAAATTGGCAAACCCTTGACTACTGTCTTCAACCTCCAAGCATGAAATATTTCAACCATTTAGGTATCCATTGCGGGCTATCATGGCCCCCACCTAGTATCCATCGAACAGACTATGACAGGATAGCTCGCATTGAACCCCCTCGCACTGGTGACTTGTCTGATGCTGACAGCTCTCACGAGCAAGGACCGTGGTAGCGAAATTGGAGAATGTAAACAGAATACCTGGGAAGGATCCTCTCGTTAATGACATTTCACATGATCAAACTCGAATGTCAAAGCCGGCTGGGCAAAACCCCCTCGGGATGACTGCGTCTAAGAGCATGCACTTTAAAAAGGACCATGATGATGATTATAATTATGATTCCACAAAAGGCCCAGCCTTACGACGCGAGCGGTGCTCCCAGTTCTCGCACCTTATCTCCTATTCTGTACAAGCCAAGTCCAAGCACTGCAATTATTGTTGTCTTTTGTCTATTCCTCAGCCCCCGGACTTCTGCTGCGAAGAGGCACCCATCCGTGACTTCATTATGGGTTCCATGCAGTTTCTCTAATTATTTCTTCTGCTGCTGCTTCTCCTGAGAAACCGCGCGTCTCTTGCGAGAGATGTGTCGCTTCCTCTGGGCGAGGTCTCTCTTCTTCTGCTCGAGATCTCGCTTCTTAGCTGGCTGGACGACCCCGGCTGTGTTGAATGGCACGACGGTTCCATCTGCGTTTGTCATGGCCGGAACATTGACATCGACTCGACGGACTGATGATAGTCAGCCAACACCAATCTTTCTTGGACAGGCGATCATCTACTTACCGAGTGAGGCTGAAGAAGCCGAGACGAGGGCGATCAAGGTGAAGATAGAGAAACGCATCTTGACTAAGTATGAGTTGTAAATGGGCTTTGGTGGTAACAATAATTAAGATGTCGGCCTGCGACTAGAAGAGACTTGAAAGAGAGTAGTGAAGAGTGGTAAACAACGACTAATGTGGGATGCACAGCATGAGGACTTCTACACTTGACGAGAAAGAACAGGACTACTTATACAACAGCATACATCTTCTCATTGCTATGAGCTTGCGTAAGTGTTTATGGGGTTGCAGAACTCGAGACGGTTCCGAGACGTGTTTGAGAACTTCTGCCAAGGGAGTCAACCGTAGATCTGCTCGGAACTTTGAAGAAGCGTGCACGTAAATAGAGCCGTAGCCTGGCAACGATGTCAGATTCCGTTTGAATATTACATCTCAATCGGCATTTGAGTTGAATCATCATCACAGCTCCATATTCGTAGCTGAAACAACATCCGGAGTCTGTAACTCTGGGGTGACGATCAAACCAGCGGCACTTGACCATCCGGTAACAAGGTGATACTCGGATCGGTATCAGGTTACAAGCGACACCTTGCCAAGTTCCCTAATGGCAAAAAAGGGTATGTTGCTTCAGATCTCGTTAACTTTATCTCTTTTTACTGATTAATATTTCATCCCTGCTTATCCCCGCCATGATGCTGCTTAGGCGGTTACTTCTAGCGGGACTGCCGCGGATCGTGGGGGGATCCAATGCAGGCGCATAGCTTGCACTTCCAAGATAGAAAGAAGCCTTTAGAAAGCTTAAGCTTCATTTGGTAGCTCAGGCTTTACAGATTCGATTTGTATAGAGGGAAGTCCAGCTCTAGCGTCCCGAACCCCTCCTCATGGCATTGTTGGTCGAATTGTATTGGTCGTTTAGCTTTCTTGATTACTGCGCCGAGTCAAGCTCAGCCAGGTCCCACTGAACCATCAACGGAACTACCCCTCCATCTGATGCATCTCTCCATTTCAAGGTCACTTCGCTCGCCAACCTCTCCTCTCTACTCTACGCTTCTTACTCTTCCACGTTCCGTTCGATTACCTCTGCGTCTGACATTATCGTATCGTTCATGCTGTTGTTGGGAGGCATACTCACTCACCGCTTCTACTCCCTTCTCTCTTCGCAATCGCTTTATCTCATAAGTCTCCTGACCTCTCTCTCAGCAGCTCTTACGTCCACTCTACACCCGATGGCTACCAGAGATCACTGCCTACTATGTTTTGAGGCGCTGGAAGCTCATCTCACCCATCGAAAGGCTCTGACTTTGGAAGAGATTCAGGGATCCTCAGCCCCTACGTCAGACTCAGAGCCTGTTGCTCCAAAGACCCTTGACGATCCCAGTCTTCGACATCTGGTGATCCCTGACGCCAGCGCTTCGTCTTCTTCCTCTTCGACCTCGCTCGGTGCTTCCACACCTGCCACGAGCACCTCTTCCCTCCCTATCCCCCCAACATCCGCCCCGCTGTTCGTGACATGGAATACTATGGAGGATGGCGAACCCGTACTGCGCGGCTGCATCGGCACATTTGAAGCTCAAGATCTAGCTGAGGGTATCCCGGAATACGCCCTTATCTCTGCCCTCCAAGACACCCGCTTCTCTCCAATCAGAAAGTCCGAATTACCTACACTCCAAGTCGCAGTTACACTCCTGACCGATTTTGAAGAAGTGGATGACATATTCAACTGGGAAATTGGCGTTCACGGCATCCGACTTTCATTCTACGATCGTGGCCGCCGTTATGGCTCGACCTACCTCCCAGACATAGCCGCCGAGCAGGGGTGGACTAAAGAAGAAACACTTTTCAGTCTCATCCGCAAGGCGGGGTGGACTGGTAGTCGAGGACGCTGGAAAGACTTGGACCTCAAGGTCACACGCTACCAGGGCAAGAAAACTACTCTGGAGTACGCTGATTATAAGAAGTGGATTGATGCGGCGTGAGGGAGTGGCTAGAGGGTAAGAAGACGCTTCTAGACATAGAGGCCCGGCGTTTATGGCAATGCAGGCATGATTATCGGTGATACATTTTCTCTTATATTTGCTCAAGAGGCAGAGCTGGGTTTGTAAGCATTCACATCTAACAGGCAGCTACAGACAATAAACCTCATGATTGATTTTTACTTGCAGGCTTGGGGTGGCTATTGGCAACGCGTCTGTTGGTTTGGTGCACTTTCCGAGACTATGGAAAGTCACGATTTATAGCCTCCTCGTCATTTACGATGATTCTTGCTTCCAGAGCGTATACTGACCATAGCCGACGATCCTTTTCTGAAAGGCAAACTAGGCACTATCACTAGATATCCTACATGGGAGAGCATCAACCGGCTCAGCATCTGGTTTCGTTAAGACTCGTCTCCAGGCCAGTGCCCTGATAGCGCCAAGTTTACGGACAGAATTTAACAGTGCACCAAGCAGCAAAAAAAGTGGTCAAGGTAATATAGTATCATCAGTCCCAGCGGTGTTAGAACCAAGACAACAACGCGCAGACATAACTCCATGATGTCACATGATGGAGACATCCTTTCCCCCAGAACAAACGCGTCCTCTGTAAAACGATAAAGAAAATGAAAGTTCAAGCCCTTCGCCCAAGACGCCGAGATATCCCTGGTATATAATGATTTTGAAGCCTTTTGAAATATTCCTCCCAACAAGCCCACACAAACTCTCCCAGCATTTTGCTTATCGTTCTCTCACAATGCCCTTGCCCGGCTTCACCAACATCGCAGGCTCTTCCAAAAGCCGTTATCCTTCTTCCCTCCCACTCTGTCGCCTTGGAGATTCGGTCCTCGCACTCCAACCGCGCGCTTCTCGGTGTCGCTATCAGTCGGAAGAGGCGTCAGCGGCTTCGTCATACCGCGGGCATTAAACTCTGCTCCATCGGGACCTGTATCAGCAAGTCGTCGAGCCTCTACCACACGGCGCACAACCAATGCAAACGTCTCTTCGATGTTGACTTCCAGCCGTGCACTCGTCTCCATAAATCCACACCCGCGCTTTCGAGCCCATTCAAGACCTTGAGCTGCAGGGACTTGTCTGCTCTCTTGCAGATCGCACTTGTTGCCAGCAACGAGCTTGACAGGCGGGATGGTGCGGGAGCGTGTATCGTGACCGGAGCGCAGACCAGCACGGCGTGCGCGGTCAGCGTTATCTAGACGGGTTTCTGCCTCCATATCGATAAGTTCGTTAAAATGCTGCAGGGCGTCTAGGGAATCTTTGGATGTGATATCGTAGACGAGGAGGAAAGCATCGGCGCCAAGGTTCGAGGAAGCCCACATGCCGCGGTACTCCTCCTGGCCAGCTGTGTCGGTAAGGGATAGGTGATAAGTAACACCATCGATGCGGCGCGTCACGCTGTACGAGTCCTCGATAGTCGGGTCATAGTCTGAAGTCCATTGCGAGCGAACTAAGCGTAGTGTAATGGAGGACTTTCCGCATCCGCCGTCGCCGCAGATGGTGATGGATATAGGAACAGGTGTCTGTGTTGGAGCCGTCATGTCGGGGGTTGCGCTGTAATCGTTTATGAAGCCAAAGTGAGCGTTAAAGGAAAAGAAGATGCTTATAGTGTGCTTGGACTGGTGGTAACCCAGCTCGAGCTGTTGGGCGATCACAATAGGCACCGAAACGCGCCGCTTGTGGATCGGATGACAGGTAATTCTAGAATAATTCTAGGCGCGATCGCGTTGCCAAGGCCTATTGGTGTAGTGGAGTTATATTGAGGCTTAGTAGCTTTGGGTTGTACTGTTGGAGCAGAATTCTATTGTCCTTCGAGTCGAGTCAAGTATGATATCGTTTCGATCGTTGTAGTCGTGTCTCGTCGCAATCGGGTGCAAGCAAAGTGTGTGCGTGAGCGTATGTGTGTGTATTATAATATGAAAGTGATGATCGATGCTGTAACGTAACGTAATGCAATGTGGTGTGATGTGACGCTTCTTGGGGGTCCGAGTTTCTGGCCAGATAATGATAATGTGTAATGCTGAGTGAGGGCTCAGCCGGCAGTTCCCTTTGGGTGAGTGAGTGAATGAAAGAGGGGCCTTTTTTTTGGTTCTGAGACAGCCGAGTCCAGGGTGAGAAATATGACGAATTGGTGGTGAGTTGGATGGTAGATGATAGTCTGGAGAGAAACAAGTGCTGCTCCCTTTTGTCGTCCCTTGGAAGCCTGGTTTGCTCGTCTTGTTCTTAGTTGCTTCCTCTAAAGTTAATGGAAAGTTGTCTGCTACGATAACCAGGTTATAGGGCTGTATAGTCGGCGAAAGGAATGACAGGATAGAGGAAACAAAGGGAAGTGAAAAGTGAAAGTGAAGAGAAAAGTTTGCTTTTTTCCCACGTCTCTTGTCTTTTGCTTTTTCCTCTCAAAAGATACCAACCATGGCCGGCTGCCCCTTGTTCGTGGTGCGGAAAAACGGCTGAAGGTGCCGTGTTGAGTTGAGCTCTTAGTTCGTGCGATACGGGCTACTAAGAGCTGGAAACCTGGGCTCAGAGCTGGATAGCGCCCGGGGGGACGGGGCAGATGGGGCAGATGGGGCAGGACAGGGATGAAGACGTTTGTGGCGTTGGCCGGCGCAGGGGTAAAAAAAGGTAAAGATGCATAAAAATGTGTTGGTTTTGGGCATCAGCAAGTAATTTGATGTGATGAACATTGGGCACTGGTTTGATCTTATGCTGCACACATCCTTTTCACATGCAAGGTACGAAACGGTTTATGGTCTGCATATAGCGACTGAAGGGTGAACGTCACAGTTTTTATCATCCATCCAAACAGTTCCATTATCACGACTGCCACCAGCACACCATCGCGAGTACACCATCATCCCGGAAAGCTGGTTGGTATGCTTGCGCAATGTGACAAGACATCAAAATTAGGGCCGTTCAGTTCTTCACTCCGCGTTGGTCTCGGAGCTCGATCCCCTTCTATCAACCCAACGCGTCAGCCAGCTTGTAGGCGAGCTACTTGATCATCCAATGAATGTTGCAGCTGTCAATAAGCTTTTGAATAAAATCAGTAGCCAAGCACAAGGTTAGGCTTGGTCAGATCCCAACGGCGAAAATGTGGGGAGACATGAAAACGGGGAGACGGGTTTATGGCCCAGAACTTAAGGAGAAAGCTGATGAAGTCTGAAGGAGGGAACGGGGGCGGACGATTGATCAACAGAGAGATTTCCGAGCTCGGAATTTTTCAAACTTGCAGATGCAGATGCAAGTGACAAGAGGTCAGGTCAAAGCTCAAGCCCATCACAGCCAAGAGTGGGAACTAATGATCATGGGAATCAGAATAAGCATGCGCAATGCAGACGACAACTGATGAGTTAGTTGCCACTCCGTCCGTTATCGGTCTTGCAGACTTGCTTGGTGTTGCTCAACCTCCCGTTTCCCTCAGATCAGATTGGAAGCCTACCTTAGTATAAGCGATGTGACAGTGATAGTAGAAACCTTGCCAGATGAGATTCTGGCCTGCCTTTTTGGTCTTCACTCTTCAGTTTCTACCGTGTTTCTGAAAGCACAGTCACAGTCACAATCTCATCCCTCCCCCACCCACTGGTGAACTCAACAGACTTCTCGTTTCATGACAAGGTTTAGCTTCTCCTCCGTCGCCCGTAAATTGACTTCCGCGCACGGACAAGACTGTGTTCTGAGTATGTACGGATATCCGTACTTATCATTAAAATCAGGCGGAAAGACTAGCTTGATTGTGTTTTGTAAAGGCATGGTCGAATCCTACCCTTGGAGCCTGAAGGGCTCAAGCCATTGTTCGAGTCCTATCTTGGCCACCCGTTGTTAGACAATGTCTTTCTTTTGTCAAGGCAAATGTAACAAGTTAGTACATTCATTCCCCCGGCCTGGTCCAGATACAGCTTCACAGTTAGACTGCAGTGGTTCATTTGGTGGGTTACTTCGATCAAAGAATCGTGCCCTCCTGATCTCTATGTTTAAGACATGGATCTGAGACTTTATTCTCTTTCTTAGACCGATTGTCTCATATGAAAAGGGCAGCTAGCATTAATCCCCTATACACGATGACGCGATCACCGAAAGCGAATTAAAAAGTCTGATAAGGTTATTGCCAAGGTCAAGGTCAAGCAAGATGAAGTCGAAAAAAAAAGAGATTGAGCAAGGATCGAGTTAGGACCAGCTCGTTTCAGTTGAGCTGACAATAAACCCAGCTACAGCCTCAAGGCAAGGCTTTGCAAGCGAGAACGAGGAACGAGAAACAATTGAAACTTTTTGTCGTTACCGGTTTCCCCCCTCTTCGTCTATCTTATCGTCAACTGTTAGCCAGTTAAAGATGGCCTGAAACGTATAAACCGTGCCTATTCAAGCCTCGGTTGTTGGTATTTAGGATTTCGCCGTTCAATAATGAAGTTCTGACATGTTCGGGAAAGACTCGGTTGATCGGACGGGAAATCCCTCGTAGAAATAATCACAAGTCACGAGACATTGAGCCATTGCCGCCTTCAATGATGTGTCTCCATCTCAAAGTTCTTAGATGACTAGCTAGTTTTTCTCTCTTCTCCTATTGTGCCTCATTTCTCAATTTTCTAGGCCTCTATTGCATATCTTTGAAATATAATTAGATTTTCTCTAAATTACTTACATTTCCATCTCTCACTTTTCTCATCCGATCCTAGCCGCCATGACTGTAACCAACGGCCGCAACGGGAACCCCTCCACAACCACCCTCCATAGGGCTGAGGAAGTGAACGATGTGAGACATGACACGAACTCAACCTTTGAGCTGATTGGTCGCTGACGTTACACCACCAGCTCATCGATGCTGTAAAGGGTCTCATTGTCCCTTACATCAAGGCTGCCGATGATGCCGCAGCAGAGCGTGCTACAGGAGATATCCCCCCCAGTTCAACTGGAGTCAAGAATAATGTCCTAGTGGACTTTCAGAAACCCCAGGAGCTTGCTCAGCGACTCAAGTTTTCCTTGCCAAACTCGGGTCAAGGGAAGGAGGGGTTGTTGGAGATTATCCAGCAAGTTCTTCAGAACAGTGTCAATACTTGGGATCAGGGCTTCCTTGACAAGCTGTATGCAAGCACGAACGCAGTATGTTATAATATCCACATGCTTCATCGGTTAGTCCATTTTCTAATTCACTATGAATCAGGTTGGGGTAGTATCAGACATGGTCCTTTCAGTGCTAAACACCAATGTAAGTTTCACTGCCTGTACTATCAGCAACAAACATTTAACATCCTGCAGCTCCATGTCTTCCAAGTTTCTCCCGCCCTCACCATCATTGAAAAGACCACAGCAAAGACTCTGGCACACTTGTTTGGCTTCACTGGATCAAGAGCAGGGGGTATCTCCTGTCAGGGAGGAAGCGCCTCAAATTTGACTTCCTTGGTCGTTGCCCGGAACACATTGTTCCCAGAATGCAGGGCTTCAGGCAACGGTAACCACGACTTCGTCGTCTTCACAAGTGCGCATGGGCATTACTCGGTTGAAAAGAGTGCCATGATCTGCGGTCTTGGCTCAAACAGTGTCTGGCCTGTTCCTGTGGATGAGTTTGGGTGCATGAAGCCCGATGCCCTGAGGGAGCTGGTCATCCATGCCAGGAATGAAGGCAAGACACCTTTTTACGTGAACTCGACTGCGGGAACCACTGTCATGGGCTCATATGAGCCGTTTGAGGAGATTTCCAAGATATGTAAGGAGTTCGGTGTATGGATGCATATCGATGCAAGCTGGGGAGGCCCTGCTATCTTCTCGTCGAAACAAAAGCACAAGCTCAATGGCGCCCATCTGGCCGATTCATTGACGGTGAACCCTCATAAGATGATGAATGTTCCCGTCACATGCTCATTCCTCCTCGGACCAGACATGAACATTTTCAACAAGGCCAACAGCACCGCCGCAGGTTATTTGTTCCATACCAGCGATAGCGGTGATATCTGGGATCTTGCAGATCTAACCCTGCAGTGCGGTCGCCGCGGTGACAGTCTTAAGCTTGCTTTGGCCTGGATATACTATGGTGCTGCAGGTTTTGAGCAACAGATCGACCACGCCTTCGAGCAGGCCGAATACCTTGCCAATCTCATCAAGCAGAGTGACAACTTTGTGCTTGTATCGCAAGACCCTCCTCCTTGTTTGCAAGTTTGCTTCTACTACTCCCCTGGAAGAAATTTGTCCGATGATAAAGAGGAGAACACACTCCGGACCAAGATGATGGTCGAGAAAATGATCCTCAGGGGCTACATGGTTGATTATGCCCCTGGTCCAAAGGGCAGCTTCTTCCGTGTTGTGGTTAACTGTCAAACTCTGCCAGGGACAGTCGAGGGCCTTGTTAAGGGTCTTGAGGAAGTTGGGCGCCAATAAATAGACTATAGAAGAGGTAATATTAGATATTATACTGTATATCGAGGCGGGTTGGGTTATATAGGCTACATATGGGGGAAATAGATAGGATGATACGCATCATGGCCAGTCACTAAACAAGGATATTGAGAAACACGGAGACTATGTTCCATGGTAATGTAGAAGATATGGTCAATGCTCTATTCATAAGGAAACGTTGTTTGATTGGTGATTTTTACGGGCTTGACTTGCGAAACTGGAGCGCCTGAGCTCGATTGAGAGCTATACGACAGTAGATGAATATACTCATTGCACTGCAACTCCCATCGACCACATGCCGGATAATGGTGTGACACAGAATTATAATAGGCATATGGGAAGGACTTTCCAGTAATATTCTATGCATTAAACTGGCTATGAAAACTTAAAGTAGAAATATTTGCAAGCTGGTGACTGTACAGGGTAGCTGGCACGATAAGCTTATCGTAACTGGACCCATTATTTTATTCACTATCAGCCTTCAACGTCACGAGCATGCGTCGCATTCTCAATCTCATCCTCAGCGTTCTATCACAATGCCACCTAAACGGATGACGGCAAACCCGGTGAAACCGGCGCGGTATCGCGCCGGTAAGCCTACAAGAGCAGAGTCTGACTCGGATTCAGACACGAGCGAAAACGAAGAGTCTAACGAGCCAGCGCTTCCACCCCCACCGAAAGCGACCAGCGCGGGCAAAATCTCATCAGGCAACCTAGGAAAAGTCGACCTCAACGCCCGAAGGAAAGAAGCGGAAGCTGCCGAAGAACGGAGAATTGCCAAAGAAAAAGCTGAGCGCCTTGCTACAGAAGAAGGTTTCGTGACAGAGGAGGAGGAAGAAAGTGAATCCGAAGAAGAAGACGACGATGATGATGAGGAGAGTGAATCCGAAGAAGAGAGCAGCGAAGATGAAGCACCCAGAAGATTAATGATTCGGCCTAAATTCGTACCAAAGAGTCAAAGAGGAAACGCCAAGGATCCTGCGCAAGAAGAGGAAGAAGCACGACAGGCCGAAGAAGCAGCCCGCAAGAAAGCCGCCGACGACCTTGTGGAAGAGCAAATCAAAAAAGATCTTGCCGCTCGCGCAGCAGGCAAAAAGCACTGGGACGACGACGAGAATGAGGACTCGGATGTGGATACAACAGACGGGCTAGACCCAGAGGCTGAAGAAGCAGCCTGGCGCGTTCGCGAACTCAAACGTCTAAAGCGCGCCCGCGCCATCATTGAAGAGCGTGAAAAGGAGCTTGCAGAAGTTGAGCGTCGACGTAACTTGACTGAGGAGGAAAGACAAGCTGAAGACGAGGCGTTCCTGGCGCAACAGAAAGAGGCAAAGGAGGGCAAGGGCAAAATGTCATTCATGCAGCGTTATCTACACAAGGGAGCTTTCTATCAGGACGAGATGAAGGCTGCTGGTCTGGATAAGCGAGATATCATGGGCAGTCGTATCCAGGACGATGTGCGGAACCGTGAGGCCCTCCCCGAATACCTGCAACGTCGCGACATGGCCAAGCTGGGTCGTAAAGGTGCAACAAAGTACAGGGACATGCGTACCGAGGACACAGGCCGATGGGGAGATATCGGGGATGGCCGGAAGCGAGACGGCGGACGATTCGACGAAGACGAGCGTTTCAGACCCGACGATGACAGGTTTCGTCGTGAAGAACGAAGCGCAGGCGGCGCCAATGCCATTCCTCTTGGTGATCGCAAGAGAGACGACCGAAGTGAGAGAGACAATGGTCACCGAGATCGAAGAGATAGGGATAGGGACTCTTATCGATCAAGAGATGATGATGGACAAAACCGACGAAGATCACGGTCACGGTCACGTTCGCCACGGCGCGAGAATGATAGAGATGAATACCGGCGTCGTAAGCGCAGTACGTCGCGCGACGACGAGCGGTATGAGAGCGACAAAAGACGCAGGGTGGATGCCAGGTAAACTCGGCCTGGTCTTGATATACTATAAATAATACCCAAACAACCATGATATTTGCCTTGCAGTTGGCTTCTTTTTTGACGTGCCTCGTGAGATTACATACAGCACTGGGCTCGTACCCAGATCTGCTCTATATTCTGACAATCTCTACGCGAGCGCGATCGTATACTTGATGGCCCATCATCGCTTCGCCGCTTCGACTTGATACTGGGGGAGGATATAATGTCATGCGTGCGTAGGTACCTGCGCCACGACGCTTTGAAAGGTAGCCAGGATTGATAAGGAGGACACTCTCGACGACCTGTGGTTCAGTTAGTCAGAAATAAAGACGAAATACAAGCGATAGACGTACCTTTGCAAACGGAGGCAGCAGACTAGGCACAATCATGACATCTGGCCTGACATTCACCATCTCTCCCAATTCAAGATAGCTCAAGTCTAGAGCCGCACCGGTAGCCAAACCATCTTCCGTGCCAGTTTTAGGTAGCTTAGAGCGATCTGTAGGAGGAAACAGCGGGAAGTAATGGCGCTGCTCAACTAGGTACCGACACAACCGACTCATTAGATCAGTGCCAGCTTGTCCACCACCACGCGATACAACCTCTTCCGAGCGGAGCTGGGAGAGGATATCCTGCGATGAGACACCAAGCACGAGTTCGTTGATCGAAAGAGTCATGGGGTTCGTGACAATGCGGACCATCTTGGGGAGGCCGAGTTCTTTACGAGGAATCGAGTCTTGAGGCCATGAGACGTGTTTTGAAAGTACGTCGCGGATGGAGGGGACAAGGATGATGGTGATTTGAGGGTTAGAGGCTGCAAGGCGGTTGAAAGCGGGAGCAACAAGGTATTTAAATACTGTTGCCATAGTAGCTGTATCAGGGTCAAAGTTTGCCTCTTCAGGAAGGTCGAAATCTCCCGTCGCAATAAGAGGATGATCGATGTCGAGGAACGGCCCTGTGAGGACAAGCGCATCTGCATAAGTATCACCTGCTTGACTGCACAGCGCATGAAGTGGCTCGAAATCGAGATTATCGTCAGCAGTATAAGGACCGGAGGCGTACAGAATATTCAAAGGTGCAGGTTCTGAATCTTCATCCATAGCATCAGGACCGCCACGAAATCTCTCATGATGCCCTTCGAGTGCAGAAGGCAATGAGGCAGCGCTGGGAAGTAGGGGAACCTCGAGAACCTCCTTCACGACAAATTCGTTCCCGGAGGCGTTGGTACCCCGAAAAGCGACGATTTGGCCGGGGAAAAAGCTCCAAGACCGGATGTTGTCCATTTTTAGGGGTACCCTTAAGCCCATACCTGTTCGTCTGGAGGTTTCCAGTACCAGTGACGCAGCATTAAGTTTTCCTTCTGAGGAGTCAGAAGCGATACGGCCAACGGCCACAACCTCAGTTGTACTTTGAGCAGCAGCACTGCCGAACTCGTTCTCATCGATCTTATGATGTTGCTGAATAAGAGCCATGAAGTTATCAATCCGGTCGTCGAGGATTTCGCTGGCCTCGGAGAGTTTCATGGCCAACGGCTTATATCCCAGCTTCTTTTGATCTGAGGCGGCTGTGAGTTTTACTCGAGGTTCGGCAAAGGGCGCAATCGGTGGTTCGGCTGCATTGAGGCGATCGTTTAGGATTTCAACAATCTCTCCTGGATTTGCTCGATCACTGAATGATGTGGGCCTGGATGATGTTAGCAAGACTCAAGCAGTTGGTTAGGTGAAGGAACATACGGTAGTCCATTTAATGACTTGAGCTGCTCGTTCATACCTGTCGCTGGCGAGCTCATCAACCCTTTTGGCGTCTCCGTCTTTCTCTTAACAGCACTGCCACTCGCAGCACCCCTATTCAACTTTGCCCCCGATGCTGGAGTACTGGGAACAAGCCCATCTAGCATCCCAAAAACATCACCGCCCTTTGCCGTGCCTCTCGGCGTGTTGGCGACCTTCCTCTCGGTCTTGACCTGGACTTTTCGATGGATGTTTTCGAGCTCATCTTGGATACTCTGCTTGAGGTTCCGAAGCACCTCAAGACTCAGGGCCTGAGCATCAAGATCCAGTTTTATGCAATACGACTCCCACTTGAAAAAGAGATCCTCGGCCGAGAGGCCATGAAGGCGCATGATGGATTCTAGCTCGCTGAGGACATCGGGCTCAAGCGGCTTGTTGGGGGAGAAGCGACTTTCAATTTCGTCAGCCATAATGGGCGACAATAAACCTCGACCTGGGTTGTTCGTAGCAACTCGAGGTTTTCGGTAAAGATAAGATTCGTATATGGATTGAAAAAGATCGCATTGATGCAGGTCAGAACGTCTGGAGGGGTCTAGATGTGGGCGCGACCAGACGCGTCGTATCATTGGTAACTAAATTCCAGACCGCGTTAAGTGGTCGAATACTAACGGTACAGTGCTACCAATTATGCACACGGTCAATATCTTATAACTTGGACTGACCTTATGCTGCTTTAAAAATCATGATTAGAACTACGAAGAATAGGATGTGGACTGTCTATGCAGATATATTGGGGTTTATCAAAATTGTACTTAATTAATCAGTCATTGCATTCTTATGCTGCAATTTGCTTCTAAAACAGGCATTTCTCAGCCACTATCGAGGTATCGTATCCGCTGTGAATAAGTAAGCGCCGTTACTTTCGCTTCATATCTGTGTGATTGTCCAAACGCCATCTACTTGGTATGAGCCTGTCCCAAAAAAAAATCAACCATTCGTACTGTCATGCTCTTCATGGACCTGTTGACCAACAATGCTGTATAAAAGAACTCAAAAACAGGAATTTGAAGCGAAAACACGTTTATAACCATTCTTTACTTCTTCTCCTGAACTGTACTTTTGTGCTCAATACCGCCCCATTCAGCCCAGACATTATCTGAACCGCCGTAGGCGAAGTTTATATGCCCATCTTTGGGGGAAGAGCTGGGCGCAATGCCGTCGGTGCTAAGAAAACTGCCAAAGTCACCTAGACTGGCAGGGTCTGTATCTAGCAATGGGAGCGTGGAAAAATCCAAATTGCTACTCGCTAAGTCAAAGTTTGGCTCGGAGAGTAACTGCGTGATAGTTCGGCTCAGGGGGGTATCAAGAACGCTCTCCAGCTTGCTCTCCAGATTCAGTCGTGGGCTGCGCCTAACGCTCGCAGGACTTCTGGTCGGCGTTCTTTGTAAAAGCGCCTGTTGGCTGGGAGACAATAAATCTCTCACTGATCGAAGAGAACGTGAGACACTGCGTGTGATAGGTCGGTGACTGGGTGTTGGGCGTGTCGGGGTTTTGAAGAGAGCCGAGTCAGCATCGGCTTTGGATTTGGGCGGCGGTGTGGAAGGACGAGCTGGGCTGTTAAACAACGCCTCTATGTCATCGTCCATGATGAGGTCTTCGTTCTGAGCATCGCAGGTTGCATTCTCCTTTCCGGAGATTTCCTTGTTTTGTCGACACTCTGCTGTCTTAGTCATGTTGGCATCGACCTCTCCAAGGGTCTTCGGTGTACCCTCCTTACGGGGTGAAGGGAAGAGTAGGCGTCGAGTGCTTCCCAGTTCATCATCAAGGTCCATCTCAATGGGACTGTCAGCAGTTCCGGTACCTCTAGAAGCCCGAGAATGGGAAGAGCCTGGTACTGATTGGCTCATGCTCTTAGTATGACGCCCATCAGCCGCCAATAAATGAAAAACATTCTGCATAGCTGCATCTTCATCGACTCGTGTTTCCATAGAGACAACAACAGACTGCTTAGGGGATGAAGGCTCAACTGGTCCAATGGAGTCTGTAACCGGGAACGCCTCTGAAGGAGGATTGGGCGCCGATGAACTCTTAGTACGAGCACGTTTTGCCTGTGACTCAGGGCCCGCGGATCCTCGCTTCTTTCGACTCTGACCCAGAAACCCATTATCCCACTTGTCCTGTGGACGGTGGTTGTGATATTTGGACATCCATATCCCACATGGGTTGCAGAGAAGTCTCTCTGACCAGTCGCTCCGATCATCATCAAAGCCAAGCGCTTTCTTGATAAGGCGATGGGACAAGGGGTTCTTGTCCTTGTCCCGTTTCAAGATCTCAATGGCAGTAACCCGGCCAGGTTTCTCCGAGTACTCCACGTACTGTGGTGCTCCATCATGTTCCTGAACCCAAATCTTGCGCCAAGTCGGGGTCTCAATGGCACCGCAGTTAGTACAGAACGGAGGCATTTCGCCAGCTGCGATTGCCGATTCTAGTCTCTGTTTGATGGAATCCTTCTTGATTTGGTTCTTATTGGATTTGCAGGGCGGGGATGAGGGCATAGGGGGAAAATCGCTTTGTGGAAAGATTGCCTCCGAGAGGATAGGTAGAGAGTTTGTGATCAAATATGTCTCAGGCGGTCCCAAAGGGTCACTAGCAGCAATTGGTTTGTGAACGCTGACCGATTTGGAACGACGAAGACAACTTGTAATATCCGTGGTAGCGCGGGGCGGTTCTACAAGGACAGACTGTGATAAAGAAGATGGTCCGGCAGGCTCGCTTGCTGGTACAGAGGGCAAAGCTAAAATCCCTGCGGACTGTGATCTGCCGAGTGGTCGCGAGGGGCGAGGCTTTGGTGCGATGGTGTGAGTACTTGATTTTGAAGTAGGTAAAGATCCTTCAGTAGATTGGTTAGTTTCAATTGAAGTATTAGGCTCTGAAGAACTAGAGACTGCGCGCACTAATTCAAAGAGGGCATCTTCTTCCATTGCCTCCATAGCTTGGCTGCCCTGCGCCTGAGTGGAATCTGGTAGCGATGATGCAGTGGTAGGGACTGGGCTATCTTTCTCTGCAGCATCTGTGGTGGGAGGGGGTGTTGGTGCATAGCTTCGTGGTGGTTGTTTTGAGCTTGCAGGTCGTTTCTGAGAGGAATTTCGAACTAATTTGGGTATGGCAACCTTCTTCGCGGTGACGGGTTCTGATGGAGGAGGCCCAGCAGGGGTTGACGTTGGGTGAGGGGTGTTGAAGTTTTGGATATGAATGAGCCCTTGACCTTCTGGCCCGTCTTCGATTCTGAACACTTGAGTTGGAATTCCAGTATTATCCACGTCTTCCATTACCTTTTGTGTCTTAGGCTGGCTATAAGTCTGGCCCTCTTTGGCTGTTTGTAAGGCAGGCTCATCCAGTAAGTCGTCGGGTTCGTTCTCCGCGAAGGTCGATATTTGTCGCGGTAGCGACGGCATTGGCGGTAAAACAGGACTGGAAGGAGGGGGGCTTGAACGCATGAAAGATGCTGTCCGTGGCATAGGGGGAGAAGACCGTATGTCCTGCGGGCTATCCTCTGAAAAGGCTGGAGTTTCGACAGGCGATTCTGGAGAACGGCCATCCTCTTGACTCGGGGATAAGGCGCGAAGGGGTCTCGGGGGTATTTGACTGCTCAAAGTAGCACCCAACTCCTTGCGCATAGAGGATTCCCTCCGAGGCTTAAGGCCTTTGGGGCCACCCTGGGCAGGGCCGTTCAGAGGCCCACCCTCAGGAACGGGAGTAGGCGCTCGGGGAACTTCTTGTAGATGATTCCCAGCGACCACCTCATGGTTTGCATTAACAGGACGGAAATTTCGAAGAGAACCAGCGGTACTAGCAGTGACACGTAGAGATTCCGGACCAGAAGTGAAGGGGTTAGGAGTAGCCTTTTCGACCTTCATGGGCTTGGCTCTTTTCTTGGCTGGTACTGAGCCGCCATCCTCGCCCTCGGTGCCGTCTTCGTACCCTGATGTGTTTCCTTCGGCAGGTTTCTTTCGCGGCCTACCCCGAGGCCGCCCTGTCGGCGGCTTTCTATTGCGAGAGCTTCTGCTAGAGGGTCTTGATGTAGAGGCGGCGGTGGTTGACGGAGGGACGGGCATGGGTGCTATGCGTTGAACATCTGATCCTGAGTTGGCTTGACTAATCGCGGGATCTATCGAATCTTGTCGTTCATTTGTGACAGGAGGTGGTGCGCCTTGAGAAAGCGCAGGTGATGCCACTCGAGACACATGTGCTGTGTGTCCGATATGAGGGTTGGCCTGAATGAAAGAGCTCCATTCTGCGGCACCAGATGCTACGGCTGATTCAGCAGAGCGAGAGGGTGGCAGAGATGCAGGCTGCAATGGAGCGGGCTGTAAAGGCGTGGATTGCGTAGGGTGAGGTTGCATTTCAATAGGTGGAAGGTCAACATTCATTTCTGGCCTTTGAAGCCTGGAACCGACTGTGAACTTGAGTTTGACTTCAAGTATTTCGCGGTTTCCTCCTCCGAAGACGGCAAGCAAGTTTTTAGTGACACGTCCAGTTACCATTTTGGGCGACTGAGACACCCAGTCACCACCACGCATTGAATCGAGTGACCATGATAGCATGCCTTGTCCAACTAACGGGGTGTCTGGTTCTGAATAATCGAGTGCGTATATTGTGTAGTCGCCCTCACTATCTTGATTTCCGAGTTCTGGGCTGCATTCGGTGATTGCCTGCAGACACGCTCGCAAGTCGACAATGCCAATAGAGTTCTGTTCATCGAGGGGAATCGTTTGAACAAAGAGGGTTTGTGTTGAACGGGCAAGGCAATTGACTTTGGCCTCCTTGTCAAATGTATAATGCACCTTGACTGCATATCAAGTTAGCAAGGTAACTACTAGACGCATCGATTTTGCATACGACCCATAGGCCTCACTTGGACGCCCGCTTCATTTGTTTCCATGTTCTGTTGCATCATCTGACCGTTGTGATTCCAGCCGCCTTGGATAGGATTGGGCATTTGTGAAGCCATGGCGGTTAGTCCCCTAAGGGGGGAGGTCAGAGATGGCGGTTAAAGAATCAATCGTGAATTATGTCGTCGTCGTATATGTTGGGTTTATATCATGTAGGTAGAGACAAGGCAACGACGGCCGAGAAGAAAGAAGCAAAAGGTCAAAAGGTGAAGTTTAGTAGTGGAGATTTCAATGATGCGTAGGAAATAGTAGTGGGGAGGTTCAATGTTTGAGCTCGTTGGCCGGGACGTGATGTCAAATTCGGGAGGCGGGCGTCATGTTCGTGACGCGCTCTAACCCGCCAAAGTCGCGTCGTGAAGCGAATGTGGATCAAGTTAAAGTGCGTGCCGACAGTCTTGCGCGCTGGCTAGACAACGAGAAAAGGAGAATAAATTGCAAAAGGGGAAAAGGTGGTTGAGGGAGTGAGGGTTAGGAGAGATAAAAGAATAATTTGAATCAACCCCCCAGTTTGAAGTATCGACAATACAAAGTCACAGATTCTTTGAATGTGTGTTGTGATGCAGCTTCAAAGGCGTGTTCCGCCTGAATGAAACTGAAGAAAAGATGGAGGGTCGCCGTGTCACTCCAGTGGTTGATGAGCCAATAACCCCTGTCAATTACCCTTTTAGTGCCTGCAGTCGGTGACGTGAGTTAGCGCAAACTTCTCCTTCTAGACGCGCCGTCCGGGCGGCGGTGGGGGCCTACCGGAGAAAGATCCACCTCTTCCGACACGGAGCGGTTCAGTGGGGCCGGGTAATGCGAGTTGAAGATGGAGCAGAACTCACGTGCCTTGCTATCTCAACCGAATCCTTTGTTCGCTTGTCTCGATGGAAGTCGTCGCACTTTTGAAACGGTACGTATCTGTCTAGTTGGTTGCGAACCTGAGTCTTTTCGCTGGCCGTTTTGCTTTGGTCAACCTAGTAACTGCCGACTTGCTTCGATGACGGGAAAATGGGCAGGAATGAGCCAGAGAAAGGCGAAGATGTCTCGTCTTTCTTTCGAGGCTCTTCTTGCGGCGGGACACTGTCCCTTTTATAATTTTGCCCTCTACCTGAGGTCATCTAATGGACTATATCGGGTGCCTGCCTACATGAGATAGGTTGCTAACTAGATTCTCTTGCTGGTCCTGTTACCTTATCTCCGCATTTCCAATCGTCCGTTTCCCTCTTCCTTGTCTGTATCTATCCATCCTTTTAGCCCTGTCTGGATAACATGAGTTGGTGTTTCTTCCTAGGCTTACATACCCGCCCACCTGGCCCTCCACTACCTGCATCTGCCCCTCTTTGGTCATTGGTCATTCCTTAAACAATGTCCCCCTAAATGATACTTTTCAGCCATCGTTTCATCTCTCACCAAAATGAATCTTGTTGTTTTCATCCCAACCCCACTTCAAGTCTCTCGTTCGCCACTTTCACTATGATCATTTTAGACTTCATGAACACTCCATGTAGGAGGATAAAAGCATCATCTATTTTAAAGCACATTTCTCTTATCGCTTGATGTCATCGCAATTTATCTATCAACACACGCACTACATAATTTTACATCTCGTAGTGGCATCTATTTTTACATTTTATCCAAACATTGCTGGCATGCGAGGAATTACAGTCGGCTTCCAGGGATCGACTCATCCGCCATCCAAACAGCCTTGCCTTGGTCATCCACTGCCGTCTTGCGAGCGATGATCTCTTTGACGACCTCAGGGATGCCTTGGCGACCGTTGCGTGAAGACACGATTTTGTTGGCCAGCTGTTCCTGGGTGTATGTGCCGCTTGACAGAACTTGCTCGATCTCTTTCTCGGATGGCACACCAAGTTCCCGGTGAGGGTATTCCTTGAATGTGCGATCGGTGAAAAGGTTTAATTCATTATTGGAGTCGTACTCAAAGAAAGGCTTGGCCACATTTGTGCCTCCAATCGCCTCGAGGGACTCTGGCTGCCACTTGGGCGCCTCCTTTCGGATGAGCAGTGCTGATACACCCTCGGTGAAGTCGGGATGCTGCATGAACTTGGTGGCAATTTGGTGCTCCCTCTTGAATGTCTCAGCAATATCCCACTCACCACCTACACGCATCTGGCGAAGAGCCACGTGCACAGCTGTGGGTGATCGCTTGTGTAGAGTCTTGAGCTGCTTCTGCGCCCACTCCTCAGTTGGACCCCGCTCGGCCTCCAAGGCAGCAATGATATCACTGATGGTGTGCTTGTTAAAGCATCGGTCGATTGCCTGGCGAATTTCGCCGCTCAAAGTTATGGGCTGATCATATGGCAGACCCGTACAGAATTCTTCGAGAGTCTGGTTGATGAGTGCCAGTCGTTCAGGCAAACCGTCGCTGTCCCGGAACCGCAGTTCGGCTAGGCGTGCCTCTAGATCAGGCAAGCTGGTTGAATGCAGGTAGTGGGTGGCAATACCAGAGTAGAAGACGTTGGGGCCAGAGAGTCGCTCGCTAGTAAGCGCAAGGTAAGTCCCGACAGATCCGTTCATTCGAGGAAGGAAGAAAGAAGCGCCGACATCGGGAAAGAAACCAATTGTAGTCTCGGGCATGGCAAAGACAGTCTTCTCAGTCGCGATTCTGAAAGGAGCATGGGTACTCAAACCAACACCACCTCCCATAGTGATACCATCCATAAAAGCGATATAGGGCTTCTTGTATGTCGCAATGTAGTGGTCCAGCTTGTATTCGAGGGCGAAGTATTGTGCCGACTTCTGCCAACCATCCTCACCCTCCTGGTTGAGCTGGGCGAGCGCAGCGACGTCACCTCCAGCGCAAAGGGCCTTTTCACCAGCACCCTTCATAACGACAACGTTGGCGAGATCAGACTTTTCCCATTCGATTAGTCGGGGCACAATCTTTCGAATCATCGAGGCATTGAGCGAATTGAGCTTCTTCGGTCGGTTGAGCATGACTGTTCGTAGACCATACTTGCTCTCGAAAACTACATCATTGGGTTCATCGCCTCGTTTCTCACGGATGTTGGTGGCCTCGGATGAAAGCTATAACCATACAGTTAGAATTGATAACAATCAAGAACCTGCTAATTGTCTTCACCTGTCGCGCACCAAGCGGGGAGCTCAGAACCTTTGATTGCTGAACCATATTGAAGATTCTTGGTGAGCTCCGACTTGCAACATTAGCTGAGGCACCAGCTCGGACTGCCAAAGTTCGAAATGACATTATATGAGAAGAAGAATTAGCGATGCGCACATGCGATCGACATGCGCATCGAGGTGAAGAAAGAGGGGGTATAAGATGGCTTTGGAGTCTTGTCCGAGGTCCGCGGCAATGCTTTTTCAAACGTCCGCAACAAACCGCCTAACCCCAAAAACCCATCACTTAGCAGCCACACTTTCTGGAGTGGAGGGATTGTTGTCGACTATCGTCACATGACTTCTCATGAAGCTCAAAACATCGCCCCACATGAGCAACCAATCAGACGCGTGCTCAACCCATCGTCAACTTTTTGAGCTATCTGCGCTTCAGCCTTGCGCGCCCGTCTCTAACATCCCAAACTATCAGAATATATCCAAGATGTCGACGGACCCCAAGATTCAGTGCGTTACAACGAGTCCTCCTCTGCAGTCCCATAGTGCTAACAGGCCAATTAGGGAGCTTCTCAGCAAGGCGCGCAATGAACTCACGTACGTGACCGACGACTCTTCCTCTTCGTCCAGCCCCGCGACAGGTCCTCGATTGCTAACACATCATCCTCTAGGGAGTACGAGATAGCCCAGCTAGAAGAACACGAGTTCTCTGCAGGCCCTCTATCTATCCTTCAGACCGCCGTTCGATCGCACGTGCAAGTGCTCATCTCCATCCGCAACAACCGCAAGCTCCTTGCGCGTGTCAAAGCCTTCGATCGCCATTGTAATATGGTGCTGGAGAATGTGAAGGAGATGTGGACAGAGACCCCTCGGTTAGCAAACGGAAAGAAGGGTCGCCCAGTGAACAAGGATCGATTCATCAGCAAGATGTACGTCTACAATGCAATAACCGTCAATACCGCCCTTGTTAATTAGCGGTGACACGAACATTGAACTTGATTGCTGACTTTATCATAGGTTCCTACGAGGCGATAGCGTCATTCTGGTTCTTCTCAGCTAATATTTCCTTACCGTCATGATTTTGGAGCGGTGAGAGCTCGAATTTAGAATGGGGATGTTTGTATGTCTTAAGGGCAAGACTCACAGGGACTCCATAGGCGTTGAAAACATGTTGATTTTCGCATACTATATTTTGTTCATTACACGTGTTATCACTATTTGCACACGGCCGATTACCTCGACCTTACTGGCTTACATTTCCATCTTCGACCTTGAGACAGAAGCAGAGCTCATAAGACTGCCTAACTGCTCAGGCCCAGGAAGAAGCTGGCCAATCCCCAGGCTCCAGGATCGGGAACTTCCTGATAGCCACTACCTCCGATATAAACCGTCCGACCCAGGCTGGCTTGCATACCCTTGGTCTTATTGGCCCCCTCCAGTGCTGCGTCAGCTGCCTTCTTGACGTCTCCAGTCTGGTTGAGAGCTTCCACGAAGGGATGAAGAGCGTCGACTAACGTCCGATCTCCAGGACGAGCAGGCGTGTACTTGGCCAAAGCATCGCTACTCATCTTGAGGGCCTTGGCCCAGACTTCGGGCGAGGCAGTGCCGGGTGACAGCTCACGGAGAGCATGAACCAGGGCGTTGAGGAAGATGGCATATAGAGCTCCAGAGGTTCCATCCATGGCCGTTTCCACGATTGTTACGATTGAAGAGAGATCCACGACGACGTCGCCGGTAAGAGGTTGCTCATCAATGTGCTTAAGGATAGCTGTATTATGTCAGTGAAGGTCTTTCTTGAAGGGGCCATGATGCGTCGGACTGACCTTCAGCGCCTCGTTTCAAACCGATTCCACAATCACCATCTCCGACCACAGTATCATAACGGGTGACCTCTGGCTCGACATCAATAACTTTTTGCAGACCTTTCTTCAATACTGCTTGCGCGGCACTAGGATCTGTTTTTAGACCACTAGACTTGATGTCACCGGTAGCACCAGCACGGCCTGTTCTTGTATTTGTATTCTTGGCTTCCCAGGTGCTGGCCTGAATCGGTGCGGACCATCCAACCACCTCACTGGGGGCATCAAGCAATTCGATCATGCTTGGAGCTTCGAAGTCAGGCGAAGCCACATTAAGAAGGGAAATGCTGAAGCCGAGACCGTTCAGACTGGTCATGAAAGTACCACTGAGTATTCTCACGGGCCGGATAGTGTAGTTTGACTCAAGCTGACTCGCAACTTCTGTGGTGATGCCGCCCAGCTCAAGAACGCTGACTCCTCCCAGGTTGTTGATCATGAGAACAACCTCTTTGGAATTAACGTCCACAAAAGCTCGGTCCTTGTCTGTGGTGTCGAGCAATTGCTTGAGCATCTTACTTACGAGATCAGGTAGTTCAGCCTTCTCACGGCCAGAGCCGGGTTCATTGTGAATACCCATTCCCAGCTCCACCTCGTCTGCCGCAAGACTGCCCTCTGTATCGACCTTTCGTCCAGGAACATGCACGTGTTCAAGACTGGCGCCCACACTGACGAGGTTATCTGCTGTCAGTTGTGCATATTTGGCAACCTGATCAAGTGGCTTTCCTAGAGCAGCGAGGGCACCCGAGATTTTGTGAACGAGAACCGTACCTGCAATTCCACGACGTCCAACCTTTCCGGCCTTTGCACGACCAACGCCAACATCGTCGCCAACAACCACCATCTTAACCTCAAGCCCTGCCGCCTTGGCCTTCTCAACAGCCATACCAAAGTTGAGGACGTCACCGGTATAATTCATCACGGTGACCAAGACGCCCTTGGACGTATCGACACGAGAGGTAATTGCTGTGCGTATTTGTTCTGCTGAGGGAGATGCGAAGATGGTTCCAGCTACAGCTGCGGAGAGCATGCCCTGGCCGACCATGCCGGCGAAAGAGGGCTCATGACCGGAGCCACCACCTGAGATAATGGACACTTGGGTTTTGGCATTGGAATCAGGACGACGATAGATGATTTTGAAGTCTGGATCTAGGGCGAGTGACGGATTGGTGAGGGTGAGGCTATGGAGAGCTGAGGAGACCAGGTGGGTTGGATCATTGACAAAGTGTTTGGCTGACATGGTAATGGATGGAGTGAGATGGTCAACCGGTATTATCGAGATGAGATGAGATGAAATGGTTCTTAATTAAGAAGATATGTTATTGATCAATTGAGTCTGGTTTCTGAGTGATTCAAGCCTCTTAAGTACCATTTGCCAAGATAACCGTCACTAAGTGGTAATCAGGTGAGGTTATGCTGGCTGTATTCAAGCGATGAAGGATGAATGGAAGTCAACACCAAGCTCAAGTGGGGGAATCGCGGGGTTTGTAGCGGGGTTGGAGCTCTGAGGCCGGGGTAGGGAACATGTCACGGGAGATGGCATCCATGAGTGTTGGGTATTCGGTTTAGGTATACCGAATTTCTGCCCACTGTTAATGAGCATGTGGCCATTGGCTTGTAATCATGAGGCTTGTAGGAAGTGGGCATACGGGATGTTGGTAATGGAGTTGTTGAGAACCACGCAATTCCTACGGAATGTATAGACTGGAAATGGGGTGGAATTGAACCAATTGTTAGGCTTCAGACAGACATAAGAGGCTCAACAAGTTGTTTAACTGTATTGTTCGATGGTCAGGGGACCATATAGAGGCGGCATCTTTGCATGCACATGCGTGCAACCACCGGCTTTCCTATTCAAGTAATATCTTGCCTGATAGCTTGTGGGCGTTGTCTTTATAAGCTTAAAGGAAGCATTACAACCCAGCCAAGGAATGACCATTGCTAATATGTAAGCTCAGTGATTGACCATCTAATACCCGAGATTAAAAACCAAAACCGTAGTTATGCCCTTATTGGGTCTCTATTTCTACGATGAGTAGTATCGAAGAGAATGTGAGCTTGGTAGAATAACTTGTAGAACCCAATGCAATGATATGCTGATGCTGTGAAGCTGCATGGGCTTTCCGCGTTATCTCGTATTGTAATTCTGCTTGAGGGTGTTAAATAGGTACTCTTCTAAATGATATCAAATTCATATTCCTATTCCGGGTAAAACCTGTCGGGATACTAGTCCAAGTGACAATAAGATGATTAGAGAACCTCGAGCTTTGCGACAACCTACGCGCTCCACAGACAGTAGATGCATTCAGCTCCAGTGGCTGAAACAATTGTTTAAGCTGAAAAACAAAGCTCGTTATAGATAAACAAGTCGCTTGGAACTGTCTATCATGTGTACGCGTCAGGATACAATACATACGCATGCTCGGTTAGACATAAGTTACGCAGGCAGGGATAATTGCTGTGTCTTGTCCCGCAACGTTCCCACATACCGCTCCACCCATACAGTATCCCTACCACAGTATTTCTAGAATTCTTCAAAGGCACACGCTACCGCGGGAATAAAATAACCTAAATCAATTAATTAAACAACGAGTTCCGTGATCCCGGCTTGGCCAACTCGCCAAGTAAAGATCGAATTGCCTTTCCTGGAAAGTGAAACACATGCGCCTCATTGACTATGTTGGTATACGATGGTTGCCACACGAAATGATGATTCTTTCAGTCTCGGCCGAATTAGAAGAGATGCTCCATAGTTTCTTATCCGCTCTTCAGGTCATGCAGAAAAGGGATTGAGCCGACGATTGGATCGTGCTGGCACAAGGAACCGTATTTATTCCAGGAACAAATGGAGCACTGCTGACACTTGAGACGATCATAACCAGGTACTGTGCAGTGCATTGCATATCTGCTTGCGTACCTCACCTTGCTCTCGCATTCCGTTTCCTCTCGTGACAGATTCGAAGTCTTAACTGTCGCCTGTGTAAAGCCCCTGACGATCCACGTTCCCGTAGGATCCATGTTGTTGCGCCTCAAAACACAAGAATCACATCGCATGGCTCCGATGAGCCCGAGCCATGATGGGCTCTCCTTGGGCAAATTCATTTCCAAGGGACCCTTCCTTCCAACTTTCAGTGGAGTCCCTGACGTATCGTCTAACATCAGTGTTAGTGGTGCCCATGCCCACAGCACAAAAAATTGGGGTGTTTCGAGCATCCATCCCCCTTCTTGCCATGCCAATTTTAGAAGGAAGGACATCTTCTTTTCCTGCATATCGATGTCCATTTCTTTAACGTTTCCTTTCGTTGTTCCTTGATTACTCTCTTTTCATCTACGTGGCTGGATATTTCTATCACTATATATCGTTGAGTTCATTCTTGGCGACGCGTCTAAGTGGGATACACGAACCGAGCTTGGCATCAAACAGGGTCCAGTCCATCTGTTATTCCCGTCTTGTCTTTGTCTTGGTATTCTGAGTTTTGGGTTAAGCTGCCAAGATGCATTCATTACTTCGAGCAACTACTGCGATCCTTGGCTGGGCAGCAGCTGTCAATGCCTACGACGTAACATGGGATGATAACAGTAAGTTTTCTTGTCATCGACAAAATTGTGGAACTAATGCGATATGGTAGAATCTATCGAGAAGGCCGCTGGCCAGGCAGCTTTTGGCTTAGTATCATACTACACAGGAAACAACACCGGCGATACACCAGGAAACTTGCCAGATCCTTACTATTGTAACTTTCTCATAACTATCAGACAATAAACATTTACTGACCATCAATAGGGTGGGAGGCTGGCGCGATGTTCGGTACTCTCGTTGATTATTGGTGGCTCACCGGGGACGACTCCTACAACACAATCACAAAACAAGCCATGATTCATCAAGCAGGCACAGACGGCGATTACATGCCCGACAACCAAACAATGACTGAAGGAAACGATGACCAAGGCTTCTGGGCTATGGCTGCAATGTCAGCAGCTGAGCACCAGTTCCCAGATCCCCCTGAGGACACACCCGGATGGCTTGCTCAGGTTCAAGCTGTGTTCAACGAGTACGTCAGTCGCTGGGATGCAGACTATTGCGGTGGTGGTATGCGTTGGCAGATCTTCAAATGGAACACTGGTTTCGACTATAAGAACGCTATCTCCAACGGCTGCTTCTTCAATGTCGCCTCTCGATTAGCCCTGTATACGGGTAACGACACTTATGCGGACTGGGCTGAGAAGCTGTGGAAGTGGCATGAGGATGCTGGCATCATCACCGATAAATTTGCAGTTCAGGACGGTGTTCACATCAGTGATGCTAAAGGAAAGAAGTGTACTGATATCGACAAGACGCAATGGTCCTACAACACGGGAATTTTTCTACACGGCGCCGCGGTCATGTATAACCTTACCTCTAGTGATAGCTGGAAGAAGCGCGCAGACGGTCTTCTCGACGATGTTTTCAACAAATTTGTCAAAGATGAGATCATCTACGAGCAGTTTTGCGAGCCGCACAAACAGTGCAGTCAGGACCAACAGAGCTTCAAGGGATATCTTGCACGATGGCTGGCAGCTACCACGCAACTTTACTCTTCTACGAACGACAAGATCATGAAGCTCATCAAGACAAGTGCCCAGGCCGCCGCTAAGATCTGCACAGGCTCACCAACAGAGGGTTACAAGGGGCCTGCAGGCACAGCATGTGGCTTCTCTTGGACGACGGGTAGCTTTGATGGCTCTGTTGGAGTTGGTCCCCAAATGAACGCCCTGTCGATCCTCATGTACACGCTGGTAGAGAGTGCCAAGGGGCCCGTTACCTCGAAGACCGGTGGAACGTCCAAAGGGAACCCTGGCGGTGGAAACACAGATATTAACGATAATGATGGAACACCCCCGATGAAGGAAATCACGACGGCTGATAAGGCTGGCGCCGGTATCCTGACGTTCTTGTTCCTTGCCGGTGTCATCGGGGGTGTTTCATTCTTGGTCGTCGACTTTTAGACCTTTATACTTCTATAGTAGGGTATGGCGTTCAGAGGTGGTATCTGTAATATTTATGTTTTTCGGCGTTGAGAGCTTGTTAGATTGGATGCCTTGCACTCTACTTGGCCTCAGACTTGGAAGTCGGGCTGCAGAGTTATACTCACAAATCTCCATTGACTGCATTGCGTATTTTCTATGAATCCGCGACTATCCATCAAGAAGACTTTCGTATGCCCATCTGTCACTCGTAGTCGCTTGCCTCTAGCAAATCTTGTTCCCAGACTGCGCTCCCTAACAACGATAACCAAAATCTTGAGTCAGTATAAGGTTCAAAGGAACTGTTGATTAATGAGTATCGATTCTTGGTGTGAACAGGTGGCTCATTCAGTTCTTGTCATTGCCATCTTCATCTTATGGTTAAAAACAACCTTGCTATTAAAAGATCTAGATCAAACCCAATGCCACCATCTATTTACGCAGCTCAAATTCCGAACCAAAAAACAGCACTGTTTACATTATTCTATGTCCTTCGGTCTCCCATGTTCGTCCCTTGACATCCTCGCATATTGCGTCTTCAAAACAGGAGTATCCGCGCTGACGAGGGAATTAATCCACGTTTCCTCTTCCTCAACTCCCTCTGTCGTCTTCATCGTCGCACGGCCCATTAGCACCGGATGACAATTCACATAGACGTTCTCATACTCGCGAGCCGGCACATTAAACGTCTCGTGGAAGATCCCTATATGCTTGAGCTTAGACTTATTCATGTAGTCCCATGCCTTCCGGTGTATTTCGTCGTGTGCGAAGCGGTGCAGACTTTCGATGTCACGAAAGTAGTAGATCAGGAGAAGGGTGTTATTGCTGCTCTTCTCATCTCCGCGCCATGTTGAGGAGCTCAGCATACCATACTCGTCTCGTTTGGAGGCAAGATCATTGTGCATATCCATGAAGTATTTGCTAATTTGCTTCATGCCTGGTGCTGCGAGACCGAGAGGGTGGTTGGCCTGGATTCCGAGATGAAAGACTACTACGGGGCTTGCTCTAGGAGTTGAACCAAAGGAGCCACTAGAGAAAGGGAGTTGTGCGGTCGCGCGGCCTGGTATGGCATTCTCATTATACTCATTGGGTTTTGTGCTGCACAGTTGGATGGCGGTGGTGACAATGGAGTTGAGCAAGACGGCCACGGGTGGCACGACTGCCCAACGTAGAGGAAGGACAGCACAGAGAGCAAATTGGATAAACGATCCAATAACCACTGTAGTTTGAGGTTTAAAACAGTCTTTAAGTATGAACTTATCATATGTCAGATGAGAAATAAGTATGGAAAGGGGGTTCATGGCTTACAAGCATCCCAGCTGTTGAGGCAAATGTCAGAGGCCGGGACGTTGGCTCTAGTTTAGAACGGAATTCTGATTTCTTCATCATGTGGTTGGCTAAATAGTCCAATTAGATTGATTGAATGCCAGAGTCAGAAGGGCATCAAGTATCAAGTGCGCGTGGGTTTATATGTTACTTGTTCTTTCAACAAAGGTAGCTTCGCCACTACCAAAGGTCTAAAGACCCACGGAACATGCCTCAGCAATGCATTGGTGAAGCGAATGCGAGATCCAGAAACAGCAATATGCTTCGATGATACTATCGCATACGAAGATTAACGTTGGTTCATAATCAAGTCACTCTCAGTGGTGCGGTGGTGGCTTGCTCGCACTCGCTTAATGCTCAATATATCCGATGAAAGGTGTCTGAGTATTTCTATCAATTGCCCTGAAAATATACTTTTGCCAAAAATAAACCGACAGAGGTATGCTATTAGCCAAATCGGGAACGAAAACTTGCATTACTCTAGCTAAGTTTTCCGAACTCCATTGCTGAAGACTGAGGAAACCAAAAACATCGGACTGTTTATTCGACCGTGCTCTCACTGTGCTCCGACCTCATTAACTCCGTTGTCCGACAATGCTCTCTATAACTAACTTCACGTTCACACCCTGCAGTAGCAGGCTCGCTCACATTACGGATCTTCTCCACCATTTCGAGCAGCGTCGTCCCCTCGTCCAAGATCAAATCCATCTCCACTCCTGGCTGCCCTAGCAACGAACAATAGATCGGGTTCTTAAAGACGAGTCCGGCGGTAGATCTGCGTACTAGCCGAGACTCGATAAATCTAAGACATGAATGGTCTATCAAATGTTTGAATGTGCTAGCCGGTGAGTCAGGAGCCTTTAAAGTGAGAATGTTGTCTGCCGTTTAAGTCATGAAAAGTGATGAGCAATATTTCAAAGATTTAATAAGCTGCGAATTGACTTAGAATGTGACGGTTCCCTAGTCGTCACTCATGAGGGTCGTCTCACTATCATGATCCTAAATAACACCAAAAGCCCGAACTGCATGTGCACAGATTCCCTGACGATACGTCCAAATAACCGACACAAAAGCCATACAAGAGATACAACCAACAGAAATAGCAAAATAACTCTCACGGTATGGAATTCAAACAAGCCCTTCAAAGAGTGCCAACAACGTGCAACGAGATGGAAACCGTTACTTGCAAACTCCATCACGGGCAGCCGAGCCTCTTTCTTCCTTCTTCGTCATCAAATACCGGTCTGTGATACCGAAACTGTGTACGCCTGGCCATTTTTATGTAAAGAAATTTGTGCAAATCGCTTCAAAAGTATGTTCAACATAATATAGATGCGCTGCGGAAAGTTTGAGCAAAGATTGTCTAAGCGGTGTTTTCCTTGTTTTGTGTCTGATGTGGGTAGTTGGGGTCCGTGAGGGACTTCTCCCACTCATCCATCAGGGTTGTCGCGGTGCGTTTGATGTTGCTAGGCGAGAACTGGTTGACGATATTGGGTAGAAGCTCCTCTAGCTTGGGAGAGAGCAAAGGGGTTTCGTAGCCGGTCGACTTCTTCTTACTAACCCAGGTTAGCATACTTCATTTTACAAATTATCTCAATTCCAATGCCAAGAGTGACTTACGACGGTGAGTCCGCGGGTTCTCCCTCGTCTGAAGTAGCAGACATATCGTCCAGTCCACCGCTGCCAATAGTAGATCCACTCCAGCGAGACGTCTTGGAAGAAGAGGCTGGAGATTCCCAATTAGACCAGTCGTTATCATCCATCGAATCAAATCCAAGAGGCTGCCAAGAGAAAGACTTGTTCTTGGACTTTGTTTTGCTCCGAGCAGGCAGTTCGGGCCTTTTCGATGCTGTGCTTGTTGAGGTCGAGGATTTGGTCTCCGTTATATCCGAGTTGTTGTGAGGTGGCTCAAATACTGTGCTCACTTTGGGTCGTAACGGACGATTCGGTCGTATGGTATCCTGGTTTCGATTGGCTTCGCTACGTTCGTTGACACTGCTGGAACGAACGGGCTGACCGTTGATAGGCTCATCCCCAACTGTAATTTGACGTATGTCTTCGACAAAAGCCCTGAGGCCCAACTTAAAGTCCTCGACAATTTGTGGAACGACCGGACCGTTTTGTTGTGTGCGTGGCTGCCACGAGGCACGCTTAGATAAATGAGGGTTTGTTAATTGAGCGGTCCTGCGCTCTATCGAAGGCAATTTCACCTGCTCGTGCTCGTGATCGCGATCCTGGTACAATGAGAACCCTGCGTCTGGTTTCGCCGGCGACAGCAGAGATAGGGTTCTTGTATGCCCACCACGGAGGACCCTTCTTCGGTTGGGAGTCGCTGCGTTCTGAGTCTGCTGTAATAGTTTCCTTCGATCTGAGTCGACACTTCGCCTGATAGATGCACCATCATCTTCTGATGATAAGATGGGACTGCGGAATGCTTCAAGAGGGATGGTGTCGCCCTTCTTCTCTTGTGCGGTCCATTTCTTCTTGAGTAACGTGAGATCTGCCTCGGCACGCGACAATTCCTCACGCAATTCTAGCACACGTCTCTCCTGAGCAGCAATTGCGATGATAAACTCATTTGCGTCAGCAGGAGTGGCAATGCCAGATTCAATTGGTGTCGGGGGGACTGATGGCATGGAAGCAGAAGTTGGTGTTGGTCGGGAAGGGTCGCTTGTAGGGGGTGCAATTGGGAGCGTCAAAGAGAGTCGATTGACCTGGCGGTTCATGCTGGATACACTAGATTTGGCACGAGCGTGACCACGTCTGAAAGGGATGCTCTCGTCCTTTGAAGTCGGTCGAGAAGGCATTGCGGCTGTTGAAGTCATGCTGCCGTGGCGGTTGTGTGAGAAGGAATTCAGGTGTCTCGGTTTGGACCCCTGAGCTAGGTCACCAACAGGAGCGTACCTGGAGTTGACAGACGCAGCGACACCGACAGTGGGAGAAGTAGTAGCAGAAACGGTCGAATTAGGGGCTGTCTCAAAATTTGAGTTGGATGGAGTGGTGGGAAGAACTAAATCTGCTGGCAGACGGTCGGCAACTGAGTAGCGTCGACGGATAGCTTGTTGTTGCGAGGCCATGCCTATTAACTCGTAGGGATTCGACTTATTGAATAGTAGGGAACGGAGGCCGAGCAATCTTCGGCGTTTATGCAAATTGAAATGTAACTGAGAATGGAAATGAGTGGCTGGAGCTCTTCGGGCTCTGAGGCGCCGCAATCTAGCAGCGACAGCAGCAACAGCGGCTCTGGCAGTGAGCGCTCTTTGGTGTAACTGTTTCAGATGGCGGTGATCATCGAAGAGAGCGAACGAGCAACGATGGGCAACGCAGATTTGAAAGAGAAAGCCAGTCATCAGAATAAGGAGAGAGAGGCGAGTCCAATGTGGATTGTGGGTGGCTTAGTGGTGTATCAAGTTTCGCATGGGGTATGGCGCCAGCCGGGGTGGATTTTGGTGGAGTGTCCACCAATTGCTCAGTGGTTGTCGTCGAAAATAGAGCCCTGCAGGCGTTCGGTAGCACGCCCCTAGATCCCCTAAATTGGACAGACGTTAACTCCTCAGCACAGCTGGGCGGGCGTTGAACCAGGCGGGGGGCGGTTGTCAGGAGAATAGGAGCACTGGAACACCATTGGACGCTGGGAAGGACGCAGGAACTTCTCGAATTAGGAAGCCAGGGACGATGAGGCTTGCCGGGGCCAGACGCGAACAAATTGACGAATCCCAGTAAGGGGACAAGATGACGTTAAGCGGATGGGGCGGACGATAAGGAGCCGTTGAGTGAATCAATTGTCGTCGAGAAGTGAGACTGTATGAGATAAAACAAAGGTGATATAAAAGGAAAGAATACAAATAAAAAAGAGTGTCGATGGCAAGAAAACGATCGAAATTGTAATGAGCGAATATTCCCGAACAGGCGTTTGCGGGATGCAAATATGGAATGTCGAAAAAGCAAAGGAAACTGGATGTTGCTGATACGCAATTCCGGGAGAATGGCCACTCGACGACAGCCCTGTCAAGGTATCTGGAGCCGCGAACGAGTACGTCTCAGTAGGCGAGTGGTCCTGTAATTGAGAATATAATGCGTGTAATACTCGGGCGCGTGGACTTGATCATGGATAAGGTCAGGCAAGGTAAAGTATTGGACATGAATTGTAGATGTTACTGCAGCAGGGTCTTGTGTGTTGGAAATTGGGGCATGTTTGTTTACATAGTTATGGAGGGAGGCACATAATTCAATCAAATGGATCCTCGGCATCCATCAAAACACCATGCCATGCCAGTGCCATGCGAACTGACCCAAAATCTTGCACTTACGGCCCAACCCGCAAGTCTCACTTACAGGTTGTGACAATCGCACCACCTGACCCCGACAACCAGCTGTCGCTGCCCCGTTTTGCGCCATCCATCGAGCGAGCTCAACGCCTTGTGGGAAGTGGACCATATCCCCAGTTTGACTCAAGGTCGGCCATCTCAACTTTTTGAATTCAACTTTTTCGATGCTCGATTCATCAGACCGCCCGTTGCTACCCTCTGATCCGTTGTCAAGAGCACTGCCAGGTCGACAAACTACTACTGCAGCTTGTGCGTTAGATCGTTTCTTGTTAGGCAAGGGTTCTAAGAGGACGAGGATCGAGCGTCTGCGCTGCCCGTAATTACCGTTGTACAAACAGAGTTCTGATATCTCTTCACCATCATTGGCTCCTCGGTATTGAAGCATCATGGTAAGTTAGTTTGACTGGCCTGGCTGACGGGTCGGTGTTTGTCACGACGATGGAGAATTCGTTCCTGTGACCCTGTCATCCAGGGTCAGGGGTCTTTGCCCTTTTTGTCTTTGCGCCTGCAGCGGACCTTGCATTAAAAATGCAGATCGAGAAGAGTTGAGCACAATTCTGCCCAGTCGCCTATGCTGCACGTAATAGTAGGTTCGTGATGAATTGCACTCGTAAGCTGACTTGCATATCTAGTTGATTTTTGCTCTTTCGGATCATCCTTCCATTCCAGACTTTTTAACGATAGTGCATGAAGCGGATGGTCTTATAGCTCAGCTTCGAATATCCCGGGTTGCAGTACGCAAACGATAATTGGAACCTCAGGAAGCATTCAAGATCTTAGAATTTCTTTCTCGACATATAAGACCCGTTATACAACGCCGAGAAACCTGGATAATGCCTGGTACGGTGTAAGTTTAGGTTGACCAGTGCTTCAGCAAGACTCTCAATCAAAGCATCATGTGACTTTCGCGTCAACTTCGCGTCCCCTCAATTCAGGGCAGGTTCACAGCACTGGCTGACACGTCAATTATCTTACTCACTACATCCATCGCCAACTACCTCAGGCACTGCCACTCCCCCTTGCTGGAAGCCTGTTAGACTCCAGAAACGTGGAAATGGCATCTTTTGCTCTCATGCGGTGACTGTGCTGCCTGTTCTCTCCACTTTAGCATGAACAATTGAACCATCTCCACCCGTTCATCCAAGTTGCGAAATCTAAATCATGAGCTGTTTGTTCTCGTACAACAACCTCTTTTTGGTATACTAGGTATAATGACCTCGCAGTATGCCCCTTCCATTCTCCCTGGTCTGTGAGTTGCTTGAGCAATCCTTCCTTCTTTCTCTTGATAAGAAGAGTTGCTCGAACACTGTCACAAAGTGGTTCACTCGCCATCGCAACTACGTCGATGCTCACGATACGAACCTCCCGGCGCTGTTATCGACACTTCTTCCTGATAAAAGGACCGATCGAGTTTACTGTATCCAATCTGCCAGTCTAGAGAGAATCATTGGCCGAGCATATCTGCTTGGCTCGTCACGGATTGCGGAGTTAGCTCAGTACCGCCGGCCAGGGTCTGGTGTCGATTTGGCAGACTGTGTTTTTCGTATCCTCACAGTCACAGTAAGTATGCCCGGAACTTGGAAGCTGCGAGCTAATCACATATCAGCCAAGCCCTAGCTACGATCAGAAAAATCTTGTGAAAGTCGAAGAAATTGATGAACTTCTTCATTCTCTCGCGGCTAAAGTAAAATGGAGCTCCCCTTCGATCCGTGCCTCACAGGCCAGCCTGACTCCAAGCAACAGGACTGATGTTGAGAGCCTCTACAGAAGGCTGAGTGCAATGGAGGCAAAATGGTTTACGCGGCTTGTTTTGAAAAGCTACCAGCCGCTCGTTCTAGACCCTCATATTATATATAGACTTTGTGATCCTATTTTGCCCTGCGTTCTGAAGATACAGGGTGATTTTGCTACTGCGATCACTTCCCTCCAAGTGATACGAGGAAGGCTTCTCCCAAATGCTGGGCGCAAAACACCACGCGAACAGATCATGGGCACAGTCAAACCTCAACTGGGCGTCAAAATTGGACGACAACCTTGGGTCAAGGGGCGTAGCATCAAGCATTGTCTAGACATGGGCCATGGGCGCATGAGTGTGGAGGAAAAGATTGATGGCGAATACTGTCAGATCCACGTCGATCCAAGTAAAGGGGATCCATGCATACAGATATTCTCGAAAAGCGGTAAAGATAGCACGGAAGATAGAGTTGCACTTCACGGGTCAGTACAAATGATGCGATAGGCATATACAAACTAACCCCCTTGGACAGGATCATACTAGAATCACTCAAAATTGGACAGCCCGACACCCGAGTCAAGAAAGCGTGCATATTAGAAGGAGAATTAGTTGTATATGATGATTCTGTATGTATCGCCGATCACCTTCTCAGCTCTTTTTAACATAGAACAGCAGGAAAAGATACTTCCGTTTCACAAAATTAGGAAGCACGTATCACGAAGAGGAAGGTTTTTGAACACAGAGCTGGACTCCTTGTAAGTTTTCCCGTGCCTTGTTCATCATGTGTTGCTGATCTCGCAGGCCTGGGCCCCAGGAACACCTCATGATAATTTATTACGACGTTATGCTTTTGGAAGATCAGTCGCTGATCAATTTGAGGCATTCAGAGAGATTCAAAATTCTCTCCAACCTCATTTGTTGCCGTAAAGGATGGGCAGAACTCGTTCCGCGCCAAGTCATTGATTTTGGACAGCCCCTGGGAGCCTCAACTCTTCGTAAAACTTTTGCCATGGTCATTTTGGCTCGGAAAGAAGGCCTGGTTTTGAAACCAGATGAGCCATATTTCGACTTTACAGACCAGAGGCGAAAATATTCAAGCTGCTGCATCAAGCTCAAGAAGGAATACATTGGCAATTTTGGAGATGTTGGCGACTTTTCGGTTGTCGGTGCCAGGTATGACTCAACAAAGGCGTTGAGTTACCGAATTCCAGGGCTCAGGTGGACTCATTTCTACATTGGTTGTCTGGATAACAGAGAAGCAGTCAAAAGCTGGGACGCTAAGCCAGAATTCACCATCATCAATGTTGTAGATCTGAACGAAACCATCCTGAGAGAAGTTGTCACCTATTCGAACCCGGAGCCTGTTTCTCCAGACGATAATGGGGCACTTACTCTCAAACTGGCTCTTGGAGTTGAACAAGGGTCGCCGCCAACAGTCATATTCACTAAACCATTAGTTTTCGATTTGAAATGCTTTAGTTTTGACCGAGTGGGAAATACTGGCTTCTGGAGTCTGAGATTTCCTTCGGTGACGAAAGTTCACTTTGACCGGGACTTCACTGACACCATATCTTTCGAGCAGTTGCAGGCGCTGGCGAAGGAGGCCACGACCGCCGGCAAGTTGGAAGATAGCCAGGAGAATCTACAGTGGATTGCAAAACTCGAAGCAGCTGACCCTCGCGGTATTGCTGTTGACGTTGCGAGCCAGTTGACAGTGACAAGTATGCCCACACCGTCCCCTCGCAAATCAACACAGAATACCACCTCTACATGGTCTCCGACGTCACCCTTAGCCACAAAATCACCAGCTCAAGTCAGCCCTTGCTGCAGCCGACGCGAAAGAGTTCACAAGGCCCCATCTTTGGATTTGCCTTCCAAAACAGCTACAACATCTTTACGGGCTGAACCATCACCACCCACGAAATCGTGCACCAAACACAAACGTGGCCTGCCCTCCACTGGGCCAACTTCGCAGCACAAACGCTTGAAGAGCAGCAGTGAAACATCGATAAGCCAAAAAGACTACCCACACATTGATATTACTTCACAACCACGCGCACCTCTCGCCGCCAGGGACAACAATCCGCGACCTCAGCCCGCCATGACTTCTTACGCACCGTGTTGTCCTTCCTCTCCAAGCGAGAGCCTCTTTGATGAATCCAGCAACTCCGATGGAGTTAACACTGAAGCCATAAAGTTCATTATCAACCCAAGCACTGGCGAGCCCGAACTTCAGACAGAGACCCAACCCGAGCGCCTGAAACCATTTCCAACCAAGGTGACAACGGCATTGAAAGGAAAATGCCTCTACGCTGGCGAAGATTGCATGCTTGCAAATGCAGTTGTACTCGTTTCGCCAGACCTTCTCGCCATGAAAGAAGAAGCAAAAAAGCTTCTCGCTCAGCATGGTGTTGACACCCCTGTCACTGACATCGACACCTGGCTCAAAGCCGAGAAGGAGGCCAGACAGAAAGGGAGAATCACAACACCTTCAATGGCTTATGTAGTGTGCGATATCGACAACAAACCTGTGTTTCAGCACCTAGCGGAGAAATTCAGGGAACTTCGTAGGGACAACCTCTTCAATAAGGGCACCCACATCGAAATTCACGACTGGCGCTTTTTGCCCTATCTCACGACCCAGGAAGACGAGTCTATCGAAGAGAAATACTTTCATGGGTTCTCTGACTGGCGTATGCGTTGGAAGCTTCACACTATCTGAAAATAGGCGCCCAGGAATGAGAGATCCGAGATCCGAGATCAAAAGTCACAGCCGGTAGACCACGTTAGCTCATGAATACCGAATCACCATGTCAATAAAATGATTGTGCTGTCTAGTCTATGTGTGATGTAACTATGATTTCTTTTCATAAAGATCGCCGTAACTCTCCTTGAGTCTCATGAGTAGGTGCTCATCAGCTGTCATAACCTTTCTCGTAGCGTAGGGGTTCTCGCTCGATACTCCCTCGGAAGGCGTAAAGTTCTTTACTCTTTCGCTAGGGACAGGCTCAAGAGGTGCGGCCCCAACAGGATGACAGAAGTACGCAATTGAATACCTTGGTCCATTGCTAGTCTCCCCTTGCACCCCAGAGCTACCTTCGGAAGGGAATACGACTCTATGCAAAGTGCTGCGGAAAAGACCGTTCGTCCAGTATGACAACAGGTCGCCAATGTTGATAAGAATTGGCGGGCTGGGGTCGTCTTCAGTGCCAGCAGGACACACGGGAACGGGTGCCCAGACGTTATCCTTCCTGAGAACTTCGAGTCCTGCTTGTCCCTTAAGACGGAAGAGGAGAGTAATAGAACCGTAATCTGAGTGAGCTCCAGCACGAATGTCGTCTTCAGAGTGTGCAGTAGACTCAGGGGGTGGATATCGCAAAAACCGAAGGATAGAGCTCGAAGCACCTTTGTCTGTGTTGTGAGCAGAGGAGAAGAAATCGTCGACCTGGTTGTCTAATAAGATAATGGTAAAGGCTGTTAGTTGTGAAGCGACTTACACCAAGGCCTAGGCCAAGCAGATAGAGAAGCTTCTGGCAGAGGTCATGACAGGAGTCAGCAAAAGCACTTATTTGAGGCTCATCGGGAACCAGATCGGATGGGAGAGGCTGTTGAGCTTTCCCATCTGCGAATTCACCAAAGTTGAAGGCTCTGTTGTTGCTATTTTAGTGACAGACATGACATGAAATGCCTCGAAAAAGCTGCTCACTCTTTGAAGTCCCCGACCTAAATCAACAGGATTAGCCCTTTATCCCAATGAAGTACTCTCTATTGAAAGAATCCCGCAAATGTACCTTTTGGTGTTTAGGATCCAGTGTTTCAGAGTGCATGCCAGACCACCCACGGTTGTTGGTCTGGATCGTGCATCTTTGCTTCTCTTCCAAGGGGCATTCGAACGTCTTTCTGACCTATCTCGATGTTCTCAGCCACCCGAATTCTCGATCAGTTGAATGGATTTGCTTCTCTCACTCACAAGGTCGAACGCTCCATCGATGCCCTTAGCTTGAATGTCATGGCCTAGGTTTCGGATGTAAATGAAACCATGCTCTTCAGCAGCATTGACAAGCTGTTTAGCAACTTCTTTTTGGTCGACATCAGGAGCAGAAATGTCAATGATGGGTATGTTGGCCGTGTTCTGGTCTTGTCCCAGAGGCCTTCTGAAATGACCGGCTTTGTCTCTCATAGGATAGTTCATGCTTGCAATCGTAATGTGAAATGAGAATAGAGACTGGAACACAACCAAGACCTTGTTTTTCCGGTCAGACGGGCTTTTAAGCAACGGACAATTGGTAGTTCTGATTCCTTATCTTGTACAAAAGCGTCATCACCCCCACCATCCTCATTCGAAATGGTAACTGAGTGTAAGTAAGGTATCTCGGGCGAGTTCGGCTCTGCACAGCCACAGTGGTGGTCAGATGTCACTAGCCACACTCATGAGAGGCTGCTCTTTCCCCTGGTTGGCAATGGATGGGAGCGGTTAGAATGTCCCGTCCCGCCCGTAGGTCGCCTCGCTTGGTGGTCGTGTGGCATGGTAGGCAGGTACCGTTTAGGTACGTCCCTGCCACTGTAACTCGCCAAACTTTCCTGTCACGTCTTCCACCAGCTGTCCGTTTGAAGCTGAAGATACCTTCTCCAAACCTCCATTTTCCCCACGAAAATCATAGCAAAATCCTCCTTTTTCTCTTCTCCTCCCCTCCACCCTACGTCGATCTCTCGCTATCATCATCACGACCCCTCCGACGGCCCGTCTGGTGCCTTTCCCCTCTATTCATCAGCTGCGCCGTTCAATCCCAAGCCAGCACCTTAACTCACTTGGCGGTACTCCTTTCAACCCCGCCATATCCTGTCAACATCATCGCCTTGCCGCCAACACCTGCGATCTCGACTCCTCGCTCTTCGATCGGCCGACGATACCTTGCCGCAAAATACCCTCATTCGCCGACCTTCAGTACAGGAAATATAGCACGGGCGCCCGAGTTGTTGCGAGTCTTTCGAGATGCCATGTGAGTCTCACCCTGTACGCTTAGGAGTAGGCTTGGTCAAGAATCAGTCTGGTTCAGGGTTTAGCATGGAATTGTATAGCTTGCAATATATGCAGCAGCAACAAGAAGTCTCCCAGTATGGTTGACGCAGCTTGTGCGAGCTCAATCGTTCATGGGGAAGCTCCCAGGCCATGTGCAAAGTCAATTGCAGTCTCGGCTTTGTTGATAAGTCACTCCAACAGCTGCTCATCATAAAAAAGACCACACCACGATGAATGACTGTTCTCCATCGCTTTGTTTCTGCGACACCCTTGCAATTTGAATTTTTGTAGCTTGTGCTAACACTCAAATCAGTCCTTGTTGAGGATTCCTGGATTAATGACCAGGTTTCGTATGTGCCTTGCGACTTACTCTCGCAAACAAATTCAGCGCTAACAGAAAGCAATATAGCACCCACGACATCTCTGAGCTCGAAGGATGCGCCATCGCTGTTGATGCAACCTATTACCTGAGCCAGCTTCTCGAGACCCCTCCTGCCCATGAACCTCTGTTGTCAGCTCTCGGCGGCCTTACTGGGGTCGAAGCACACATAAACCAGAACCTCGATCTCTGGGCAAAGTCTGAAATTGTCCCTTTCTTCGTTTTCGATGGCCAGCCCGTAACTGGCCAGGATGACATCACTCTGGACCGTGGCCTCAAGGCCAACAAGAAGACAGATGAGGCCTGGAACTTGTACTCTCAGGGGGCCGCTGAGGAGGCGGTGACGACCTTCGGTACTAGCCCAGGTTGGTGAACATCGGCTCTCAATTTCAGGAATCGACCTAACGTGAGGTCTTGATAGGTGCCTTTCGCATTCAAAATCTTTACCCATTGCTTCAAACGATTCTGAAGAACCGTGGGCTTCACTTCTTGGTTGCGCCCTACACTGCGTGCGCCCAGGTGCGTACCTTATGAACTTTACGACTTGTCACTCTCATTCTGATAGTAATAGCTCGCCTATTTCGAGATGATCGACTCAGACCAATGCTCGGGTGTGATGGGTTCTCAGGAACTTCTCTTATACCCTGTCAAGGATTCTGTCATCCGAGCTTTCGATTGGGAAGCCAAGACCGTTTCTGCTATCTCCAAGAAGAAGGTTATGCGCAGCCTCACTCCCACTGCAAGTGAGCCAAGGTTCATCGACTCGTTTCTCATGGCCGGTACATCGTTCCTGCCTCCATTCCCTGCTCTTCTGGAAAGCTCTATATACTCGGACTACAATATTTCAACTGCCGCCAACTTGCTGAGGACTGCAGAAAATAGTGTTGCAACTGCTTGCGCCAGCTTCAACGATATACTCCAAAGCAAGGACTCTGATTGGCTCGACAAGTATCGCAAGGCAAGAATGGTTGTTCACCACTTCGTTTACATCGCTGAGAGTGGCGAAATCCGTGTAAACGACTATGAGCATTTGACCAGTGACAACCATGAATATCTCGGCCTCCAGTTACCAGCTGAGCTATTCCATTACCTCAACACCGGCTTGATTGGGCCCCGTCTTCTGGGCAACATCACCCACAGTCAAGTTCTCATTCAGCCAACCTTGGACGGAGTTGCCTCAGACGAATACAAAAAGCTAATCACCGACAGAATAGTGCCCATTAAGGAGCAGGCCCTGTCTCTGTTGATCCCCAGACTTCACCGAGGTATCCAGCACAAGAATATCAAGGTTCGCGTCTGGTTTGATCCCAAATATTCTTACACCATCAACCACCGCTCTGTCAACCCTCCTCCCTCCCAGAGGGTTGCCAGCTGGAGTGTCAAGGATGAGGATCTTCGTGTATTCTTCCCTGATGATTTCGCGGGCCCCGTGTCGCTGGAAGTTTTGTCACTTGTTAACTCCGATTTTGTGGCTAAGACATTCCCCAAGGAGAGGCCTATAAAGGGAATCGATAGCACAGATATGGTGACCTCGGTGGCTATCTGGCGGTTCCTCCACCTGAGAGGATACGCCAATGATGAGCACAAACTCACGCCGTGGGGCAATGCCTTGGCTAATACTCTTCTTATTCTCCAGGACGCCAAGGAGAACCATCCTGAGGTGACTGGTCTGCCAGAAGCAGCCCTGGTTGCATTTGAACTCATTCGAAATGGCCTCTTGACAGGGAAGCACACTGAAGGCCAAGCTGGTCTGCCCCGGAAGGGTTCTTATGAAGAAAAGGCAACTCTTGTGCTGATCAGCGAGTGCGCTTCCTTGCTGAAGCTTCGGCACCAGGTTTATGGATATACTGGTCCGCTTAACAAAAACCTGCTCAGCTTCTGGTCCTTGGCATCAGCAGTGAGAGAAGCTGATCGAGATCTAATTGAGGCGATTGTGGCTTCGATGTTTTTGTATGGACAGTCGAAGCGTGAAAGGGATGATCAATTGGAAATCAGCCGACGGTATGGTTCTTCCTCATCCTTCATTAGACATCACTAACACTTGGATAGGCTGCCTTTCCTTCAAGAGCCTGACATCGGCCTCGGCATTGCTGTACGGACCTTCTTCGATGACGATGAAGCTGGAGGTGACCAGGAGGCTCGCTTACAGCGGCTGGAAGAGTTCCCCAAGACATTCGTGCCATATGCCGAGTCGCTAACTAAGGACTTCCGCGTTGTGCGTGACTTTATCGATGCACTCGTTAAGGGCGTTAAAATGCTGGGTACGGACGAGCTACGGGCGGAGGATAAGGATGCATGGACCAAGGCTCAGGCATACCTCGAAGCACGACCTTTCTAGAGCATGACCAGAGCTTGAGGCATATATATGGCAAATGTTACATTAGTGGTCTTTGAGCGTGACCCCTTTGGTCACAACACGTCTTGCAGACTTAGCGGCGTTGGCGTGGGCGGCATAAAAAGTCAGGGACATAAAAGTTATCACATTAGCAGACGTGTCGAACGAGTTGCCAGCAGGACTTGTGGGGATGGTTGAGGTCAAGTGAGGAGGAGGTGATGGGGTGCATGGCAACAGGTGCCCAGCCAGGCGGCTCTAGAGGTCGTTTGACGAAGCATTTAAGATATTAGTAGATATAGCCAGGTTGGTGATATCCAGCATGCGTACTATATCAAGTCAGGAAAACTGCATGCACACACAATTCAAATCGAAAGAGGAAAAAAGGTCAAGCCACCTACATCCGATAGCTTCTTTAGGGTCTCGTAAGTGACTAGCGATTATATTGATATGAGCAGAGTAGCTCTCCAGTCTACATTGGATATAAGATAACATTACCACACCACCATCAACGCCTCTCGATAACTCCCTTAAGAAAGGGTCAGTACCATAGGCCCAGCCACGGTAATATCATCTGACAAAACGCCCTCCAAAGGTCCAGCACTGGTCAAGGTCACGTAGACAACGCCCGCAGCTCCCTGAGGAACTTCGCAGCCCTCTCCCTCAGTGAACGTGGTAAATTTGGTTCCGCCAGGAAGCTGACCTCCAGAAGTGAAACCACAGTGCGTGGCTCCAGCTGCGGCTTCGGAAGCGAGCTTCACTTTAGTTCCAATGGCTACAGCCTTGACGTCCTGGCCCTCTGCCATGGCGAGAGTAGGGAATGCTTCGATCTTGAGGTTAGAACCCTCAGGGCATTCCTTGATGAAGGGTGCGGCCAGTGAGAAAACAGCCCGGGGCCCAAGGGGGGTATCGAGAGGTTGAGGAACTGCCTTTGCCTGAGAGAATATCCTGATGGCGGTTTGATGTCGTGCTTCAACAGTAAGAATCGCGCCGGCGGTGCCGAGAACAGCAGGGTCCGAGAGCAATGGTGCTGCACCCAGGTAGGCCGAGACACCAACGCTTTCGAGAATAGCAGCTGTTGCAACCATGGCAGCTGGGTCGGCTGTTGCGCCTTTGAAGTCGTATTTGCACTCTTGGACAGGTGTGATGCCACCACCTGCGAGGGCGGACTGAAGGAGGACTACGTGAGCAGCCTCGGTTTTGCCAATGGCCTTGATGTCGTCAAGGGTTTGTGTTGAGAGGCCGAGGGGAGCGAAGGCTTCGTCGGAGAGGGTTAGGAAAGCCTCGCGGTAAAAGGTATCCTCAAGATGTTCCAATGTCAAGGCGCTGAGTGTGTTAGTTGTTTGTTGTGATAGGTTAGACTGTCATGACTTACAACTGGAGGATATCGAAGTCACTAAGGCCAGCAGCAGCAGCAGCATCATTCTGACGTTTGGACATATCGTGATACTGAAGTTGCCTCTTGGTAAATCTAGGGCCAGAAGGCATCGCCAGAGCCGTGCTGGCAAAGAGGCCGAAGAGAATAGTCTTGATAGATGCCATGTTGTATAATCGAAAGGAATGTGTCGGACCAGCCAGCAAGGAGAGTAACAGAAATAAGTTTAAAAAGATATTAAACAATGAGATTGATCTCAATTGAAGAATCGAATGTAATAGGGAATTAGGGTATCAAAAGCAGGCCAGCGCTTATTGAACGAGCGAGTGTAAACGAAAGGACAAAACCGTCTTTATGAGTCAAGTCAAGTCAAGTCAGATCGGGAAAACAAAACTAGAACAACGTGGATACCACAGCCTTAATATTCTAATTCTCAACACCAGGATCCTCATCTTGACTTGTTCGGCTGGCACAGCATCCGTGATATCACAGGGGTGTTAAGCATGCCTCACCACTGATGCCAAGAGAGGACGATGTTCAGGAACGCCAGGTAGCCGTGTTTAACAAGCTTCCCCTTCAAACGTTTCCGCTGACTTAGCTGGACTATCCGGGGTTTGCCATCTGAAGATCTGAGACGCCAAACGCGAGTGATGAAACCGTCCCGAGATATGGCAGCGCACATGTAGTATATCTACAATGTGACGCTGTAGGTGGCCCAAGGATGATGATGAAACACTGTCCTGAGATCCCGAAATCCCCTCACTGCCTTATTTGGTTCGTTATAAGCATTGCTCGGTCCGGTCATTGGCCGAAACACATGTGATACATATCAACCCTGCAATTCAAGCCAAAAGGCTAAAGTAAAATTATTAGTTTGAATCTGATAACTGTACTCCGTAATCTAGGCTCTTTTGCTCCATTTCTAGGCTAACCCAAAATCAGAACAAAACAAAAGACTGCCGGTAATTAGGATTGTCGGCAAAACAATGTGACCGCCTTCGTCTGATGGCTGAATTATTTGACGATTGCCTTGCAAAGGACGCCCAAGACTTTACATACCTACGTAGTCGAGCACAAGGTCTTGCCATTTCCCTGGAAAGAGATGGAAATCATTCAAAAATAAGGCAAACAGCACAATAACAAACAGGCAATCATATACTGCTTGAGGAAAGATGAGATTACTTCCGCAATGTCTCCCCTTTGATACCACTACCTAAAAGTCCGACTCCTTCTGGCAATCTTCTCCGTCTGGCAATGCTCCTCACACAAACATAGATATACCTTCTTCCTCGACCAAGTAGCCCGGTTTAAAAACTTCGCACTACATTGTCACCATTACAATCGCCAGCTAACTTTTGTTTCTCCTTTCACAGAGCATAAGGGTTTAGAGATCGGATGGTCAGACAACTAATCTCTCGGTTAGCACAGTACTTCTTCTCGTAACACAGGCTGACTTACGGTGGGCTCTTGGTGAGATCCGTCTTCAGAATCACCGGTACCCTCGTCATCTCTGTCACATCCTGAATGTAGTCACCACCCTCCTCGCGAAGCGAGAAGAGGCTGAGGTACTTCTCCTTGTTGGTGAGGCGAGTCTCGACAGCCTCCGCCACAGGCACCTTGGAATCTGAACGAGTGCGGTGCAGATTGCCGGCATTGGATGAGGAACGAGCAGGAGAGCCGGGGACGCTCTGAGTAGGGCGCTCAGCCAGCGAGGCTCCAGCCATGGCCTCAGTCACGTCGGACGTGTTATCGTCGTCATCGTCGAAAAGGGCATCAACATCATCGGTAGAGATGGTGCCGGTATCGGTTTGCTTGC